CCCCGGGATGCAAGAGAAGTTCACAAAGTGGCAGAAGTGCAGGTGCGGAGGGACACAGTACCGGGAGATAAGAAAGCTGGTTCTGCTCACTCGTTGCCCCCAGAGCCACAGAAAGCCCGAAGAGTTTAAATGTTAAGGCAGAGTTCCCAGGTTTGGCCGAGATGTTGTCTCCGAGCCATTTTTGAACTTGTTACAGACCATGCAGTTGATGTACAAGAATGAAGGACGAAGAGATTCAGCGGCTGAGAGAAGAGGTTTTGCCCTCTCCTTCCGCTCTCGTCCTCTCTCTCTCTCCTCCTCCTTTCCTCCACCCCCCCCCCCCCCTTCCCCCCCCCCTCCCGGTCCTGTTCTCTTCTCATCTCCATCCTCTGCCCTACAGTGCTGAAGTTTTCTTGACCAGCTGGAGATCCTGCGCTCCGCCAACGAGAAGAGCATCGAGATGAGTGCGAGGGAGAAGCACCAGGTTCCGCTCCTCCTCCTTCACTCATCCAATGACGAGGAGGCAGCTTGAGGATATGCTCATCACCTCAAGACGCAAGGAGCAGGAGCTGCAGGTTGCTCCTCCTCTTCGTGTTGCTCCTCCTCTGACGCCGGCGACGTAGTACCAAGTCCAACAATGTGAAGCTCGAGCAGATGACCTAGTTGCGTCTGTTCGCTCCAAGCATGCTCAGGTTGCCAGGACGAGACTTCTTCGGCTGGATCCCAGCTGACGAGGTTGCAGATCTCACAGCTCGAAGAGAGGATTGTCCAGCTGAGCTGCGAGCTGCAAGAGGGTATCGCTGTGAAGGATGATGATTATCGCTCCTGATCCTGAGACTCGCAGAAGCGTCCAAGAGAGAAGCCCTCACGAGGAACGAGCTCCCTGCGAAGGCGGAAGGAGGCGAGGAAGCATCAAGATCCGATCCTAGCGACACATGGGAGGTGAGATGAGTGCTCTTGCTGGAGTGTCCTGGGATTGTTTGGAGTTGTGAGCTCTGCAAGTAGGCGGCACAGAAGGAGGAGACGGAGGCTGAGGTGAAGGAGTTGAAGCTTCGAGTTGAGGTGGGGAGCTGAATCCGGTTGAGTGCTTTCCTAACGCATATGCAAGTCTCTCCAAGCCGAGTGTTCCAACCTTGAAGCCATCAAGTTCCGGCTGGAGAAAGAGGTTCGATACTCTCCTTTGTCCTCTTCCTTTGTCCTCTTCCTTTGTCCTCTTCCTTTGTCCTCTTCCTTTGTCCTCTTGCTTCATCGTCCTCTTGCTTCATCGTCCTCGTGCTTCAAGTCCACTTGCCTTATCCTCGCTCGAAGTATGACGGACTGGCTCCAGCATTTTGAGTACAGAGAAAGGACGCACAGAGATCGAGCGAAAGTCTTCGACGAGATGAGGTCAATGACATTCAGCTTCGATTCTCCAATACTTCTGCTACCCATCTGTTTCTCTTCCCCCCTCCCTCACATCCCCTCCCTCTCTCGTGTTGCTCTGCCCCATCAGCAAGCTGTACTGTTGCCTTCCTCAACCATTTCGCAGGTTGGCGTTCAAGGAGCTGAAGGCAAGGCAGCAGCGCATTGAGCTCTTTAAGAGGCTCATGAGCCTCCTAGAAAAGGTTGAGGAGGACGAGGAGGTGGTGGAGGAGAACGAGGAGGACGAGGAGGACGAGGAGGACGAGAAGGACGAGGAGACAGGATGAGGAGACAGGATGAAGAGACAGAATGACAAATGTTCCAGGACATGGAAGATCTCATCTCCTCACGCGATGAGACAGAGGAGGAGAAGGCGATGCATGAGCATCGGGTCAGCAAGACCAACGTGATCCGCAGCAGGCTCTCTCTGTCGCCGGATCCCTATGAGAAGGTTGGGAGGAGAGGAGGAGGAGGGTATGTGCAAGGGAAAGAAGATTTAGACTGCCTCAGGTGTGCCTGATGCGAGAGCAAGGGGAGGAGGAGGAGACAGCAGCTGTGGTGGCAGACTTAACGCAAGGAGCCAAGCGACAAGCACCCAAGGGAGTGCTCAAGTCGTCTCGGTCATCTCCTTGTCTTTCGCTTCATCCTTCCCCTCACTCGCACTACAGCCCCGGTGTGGAGCGCGTGGAAGGACTGGAACCATCCACGGGTGGGCAAACCTCGACCAAGTGAGCACGAGCGATTTCTTTCCCTCTTTTCATTTGATCACACAGGCAAGAGGACAGAGCATGTGAGAAGCGAGTGATGTTCGCCATGGATGAGAGCGCCGTGCTGGAAGAGATTGCGGAGGAGGGAGATGCTTGTTCCCCGTTCGAAGCGTCAGAGCTTGACACTGTATCCTTGTGACATCGAGAGTGATAATGTAACATACTTGTACTCCAAACTCTACTCACCAACCGCCTCTCCCTCTCCCCTCACATATGTGTACAACGCGTTCCTCCTTCAAGGAGCTGGAGCGAACGTCCCGGCCTCATTGCTGAGAGGGTTCAGCCGGCACTCCGGGTGCTCGGCATAGTCTGTGTCCTCCACCTTTGGAGTCCCCCACCCTCTCATGCCCTCGCATACTCCGCCAGGGATCCACAGCGACCCGAAGCCCAGGAGCCGATCGAGCATGGCGACCCTTGACCAGTAGGGGTATGTGTGGGGATGAGGATTCAAAAGTGTGAGCGGGGATGAGGGACACGGGAAGGGCACAATGGCGGGGGACGACGTGATAGTGATTGACTCGGAGGAGAGCATGGGGGAGGGCGAGGGGAGGGAGGGAGGAAGTGGGAGGGGGAGAGAGTCGCGCGATGGCAAGAGCATGAGGGACAGGGAGAGGAACGAAGAGGGCGAGCAGGGGAAGACCAGATCAAAGGCCTTGAGGAATAGAAGGAGCAGCGGTAGATCGGAAAGTGCCTTTGCCAGGGCAGACCTTGCCTTCTCGTGCCCGATCTGTGGCCATGGCTTTCATGCCGAAAGGGAGGTCACGATGCACGTGGAATGGTGCGCGGCAAAGGAGGATCGGAAGAGCGAGGAGGGAGGGCAGGCTAAGCGACAGACTCCTGCCGAGCAAAGGGATGGGAACGAAGAGAAGTCAACTGAGCAGTCAAGCGCCCGGAGAGAACTGAGTGAGATTAGGCCTTCTAGCCTGAATGCTGAGAAGGAGGGAAGAGCGAGAAAGGATGAGAGGTCTGGGGTCTCTCTCTCTGAAGCAGGTGGAGTCTTCGAGGGGAAGGATTACAAGGTCGAAAAGAACAAGTCGAGGATGGAGAAGCTGAAGCTGAAGAAGAGGAAGGGTGACAACAAAACTTCACTAGAGGATCCTCCTGACAAGTCCTCTCCTGCTGCACAAGAGTCGACCTTGCCTCACTTGAAAGTTACTTCCTTCTTCACCTCCGCCTGCCGCCAGGAGGTCGAGCGACAGGGAGAGAGCAGCGAAGAGCAGATATTGGAGAGGATGGCAGCGCAAGGATGCTACAGAGTCCCTGATGAAGTGAGAGTGACTTGCATCAGGTCCGTCAAGGCGAAGATCAAACAATCCTCCTCCAGTTTCGCTCTCCCGGAGCAGCAAACCGGCAAGGCTGTACAGCTTCCAACTTTCACCAACTTCTGGGCAGAGCAGGTGCTGACAAGGAAGATCGTCTTTCACGAGTTCCCCAGGTGAGGCAGACGAAGCGTCAAGAATAAAACTTTGTTGAACTACTGAAGGAAGAGGAGGTGGGAGAGGGAGAAAAGGAGGAGGAGGAGGGGAGGAGAGGACAAGTAAACACGTTACTGCTTCCCTGATTCGATGATCTGGGAAAGGATGTGCAGCTGGTTCTTCTTGATAGCCTCCCTGCATGCAGATATCACTGCCATCTTGCTCGACCCTACGCGAAGCCTTGCAGCCTTCTGGATCATCTGCAGAAGCATGAGGACACGCCCGCTCGAGCTGACATTGGAGCATGAACCTGGTTGACCTTCTTGAGGCCGTCGAGCAGCTCCTGTTGGTTGTTGTATCTCTTCATGTGCTCGATCACCAGCTCGTTGTTCTGGTCCATCAGCTGCCTGTACTTCTTCTTCATCTCCGTGAAGTTTCCAAGCAGCCTGCGACACTCTCACTCCCCCTCATCGCCACCCTCGCATACTACCGGCAGTCCTCAGCTCGGACCACGAGCTCTTTCACCCTGCCGCTGAGCTCCGCCGACTCCGCAGCAAGCGAGAGCCTCGTCTCGTTGTGCCTCTCCACCACCTGAACGATGTCCTTGAACGACTCCATCTCCTGCCCAGTCGGTCAAGGCCAGTGAGGATGGCCGACCATCACCTGGGGGAAGTGCGCAGTCGATTCCAACTCGGCCAGGTTTGCAAACTCAGAGAAATCCTGCACGAGATCTCCTGCGGGCGACAAGTCAGACCAAGATGCACTGAGACGGCAAGTCCTGCCTGCGAGCTGCATGCTGTCCGTTCGGATCTTGATCTGCGGGCTCTTCAGTCGACCGACAGGTGGGGCAACAGGCCGGGCGCACCTCCTGCTTGTTGACGCAGATCATGAGCAGCGAGTCGTCCCTGAGAGATCGGAAGCTGAACGTCAACTTGTCGCCCTTGAGCTTCTCAAACTGAACGTTGAAGCTGGAGTCCAGCCAGCTCTCGATCTGCTCACCAGCGATGGAGCTCAGGCAAGTTCGTTTCAATCACAGCCTATTGACCTTGGTGGCGTTCGGCCCTCCGTTGAAGGTGACGTGGCCTTGCGGCGAGTCTTTGGGAGTTTCTTGGTCGGCGGTCAGCGGAACGTACATGCTGAATCGAGGAAGTTTGTAGTCGAGCTCCTTGAGATAATACCTGAGCCGAGATCAAGAAAGCGAGAGGAAGAGGTTGAAACTCACACGCTGCTGTTCCTCAGGCCAACGAAGACTTTGAGAGCAAGTTCGGCAGCAATGTCCTCCTTCGGGGAGAGGGGAACTGAGATAGAGGGAGCTTGCTCTTTCGGACAAACGAAGTGAGATTCTCCTTCAAAAAGCTGCGAAGCGAGTCAGTGATAACGGAATCTGATGCGATACCAGAACAAAACCTGGTCTGCAAGTATGATCACTCCTCGAACTACGCAAGAATTGTTTGTTGAGACTTGCAGGCAGAGCCGATTGTTCGTTTTGTCAACCTTGGCACAATTGATCACAGCAAGGGATTGAAACTCTGGACTCACCTGCCACTCACAGTTGATGTCTGTGTCAATAGGAATCATTATCAGCTGCCCCTCGCCTTGTTTCATGCGGCCAGTCTGCAGATGTCTGAAGTTGTCCTCATAGTTGCGAACTTCGCAGAGCAGCTCTTGTTTCGTCTGGTTCAGCTCGGCGAGCTTTCAAATGTGATCAGTGGTCGTTAAAGAGAGGCAAACCATCATGATAGTTGCTTACAAGTCTTTCTTCTTCTTCTAAAACCGCTTCTTCTGTTCGCACGACGCCTGTACTCTGCAAGTATCCCCTTATCTCTCCGTCTGTTGAGATTGCAATGATCTATTCTCTCAACCATCAACATGAAATGGTCAAGACATGCATGCAAGTACCTGCATTCGCCCATCCAGGCGAAGATCAGCTTTGAGCACTGCGGCGATTCCGTCCTGAAAGTTGTCTTTGGCAATCACCTCTCCGTTTGAACTCTTGCGAGCTTCCAATTTCCCGTTCTCCCATCTACTCATGAGTAAGTTCAGAGAGATCATGTGTCAAGATCGCTTGAACAACATGTAGGACCTACCCAATAATAACCTCCTGGGCCCCGTCCCCATTGATATCGAAGACATTTAGCGCAACAATCTTCGATGGCAAGTCACACTGAACATGGTCCAAACAGTGAGAGGTACCTTATGTTTCGACTTTACCCTCCACTTCAAGGTCATGTCTCCCTGGCTCCATTCGTAGACTCCAACTGTCCCATTCGCTAACCCAAACGCAAACCTCCGATCTGAGATGTAGCACAGCGCGGTGACCTGAGTTCCAATCATACATGACCGGTGATAACAGGCACTTTGTACCTTGTCTGTCTGTTTGCTTTCAAGCATGACTTCTCCATCATCCAAAAAAACTCGTATTTCATTGTCATCACTTCCTGAGATGATCTCGTTCTTTCCGTCCCCGTTGATATCACACACCTTGGAGGGGAATCAATCTTCAACCATGGCACAGCACGTAAAACCTCCAAGGCTCCGACCCAGTCACCTGCTACAGTCCAATACTTCTCCTCGCCCTGTTCGGAATCAGCTCAGACCCGTCCATCTCCCCTCGCCCTCCATCACACCTCGTGATTGTATCCTTCAATCGAACAGTTGCCCCCGATGAAGCACAGCTTTTCTTCAACGCTCTTGATGTTTGCTGAGCACAAAGAGCTTACACCATTGGGAACTTCCCTGCATGGAACGGATTCAGCAAGAGGCGAGATGTGGCAGAGACAGGTTTTGGACTAACTTGAGGAAAACATCCTTGTTTTCTTCTACATCATAGGCCAATACATGTGATGGCGATCCCACCAATAAGATGTCACAGGAATTGTCCGGTATGAGTTTGGAGGTCGTTATCGACTTCAATTGCCTGTTGATGTTGAGGAACCTTCTCTCCACGCGTTTGTCTTCAGCATGTGTATGAGGGCTGAAAATAACGACTCGATGTCCCGTAGTACCGCATGCTAACGCTGGATTCTTGCCATCAAATTTACCAACAGCCGCCAACCTTGGGAGAACAGGGGACCCGATAGAAAGCTTATACGATGGTTGAAGGGTTGCCATGCTCTCGAACGCTTGCAACCTCAGGTTGTAGGTAGCTCTTGATCAGACCTGTATCCTCTTGCGAACCCCCTCTCCTCGTTGTAAGCTCACTTGTCTTGTCACTCGACGAGATCCTTTTTCTCCCTGCTATGAACTCCTTCCCTTCCCTCTCTGTCCTGCCTCCCCCGCTTCAGTTCCGCATCTTTTCGCTTCGTCCCGTCCAATGCTCGCCATTCCCCTCAAGCCCCTCAGTTTTTTGCCCCTCATAGAGATATCCTGGCGATTTAGTTCAAAAATCGCAGTAGGTTGGTAGTAGGTAATTTACCCTAAACCTAAGTTTCTTTTTTGGCTCAGGGCCAGCCTCAGGGCCAGCTCTGGGGCCAGCCCGGGTGGCACGGGGATTGAGGGGGATGTGGGTGAAGTAGGTCCGCAGTTCAAATGGATAAAGGGACCCCTCTTTTTACAGGCTTTAGTACCGGTGGAAGACATGGGGACACAAGTTGTGATCAGGAGGTTTGTCTTGCCGCTTTGCTGCCATGAGCTGCGGGAGTAGGAGGGTGAGGGAGGGGTAGAGGAGGAGGGCGCTAACCACTGTGACATCCTCCCATGGCACGCGCAATGATGATTCCCATCTTTGTGCTGCTCCATCTCTTGTTTCTCAACTTGGATGGATGTTTTGGAGCGCTTGCTGACTTGCATTTGATTCCCTTACAACACAATCAAGAAACCATCTTTTCTAGATTCCTTGAATATGATGTTACAAGAGTCACATCCAAGGGCATTGTAACATCCGCAGAGAAACATCACTTCATGATACGAGATGTGAAGCGGATCAACATTCAGAGTGCTGCAAACTTAATACTGTCACGAACTGCTATACAGTCAAACTCAGGTTTGTCATTTGCATATGCATGAGCTGTTGGAGATTGACTCTTGTTTGCTTCAGGTTCAAACCTTGGATTGAATGTGTCCATGTCGGGTGACATCATTTCATTGTCGTTTGGCGGTCAAGCAATATACAGCTTCTATGGCAATTATGGCAGTCAGTTCTATGTACCACAAAACAGTCTCTATTACTACTCCTTTGCTGCCCTGGATCCCCCGACCACTGTGGTCTCATCAGAAATGGTTTGCTTCTCACTTAAAAGTCAAATCAAGTGTTACGTCCTCGGTCAGTACGTGTGGAACGATGTTGCGTTGTACAGCCCCTGCTCCAAGGTTCAGTGCACAGCAGGGAATCCCATGTCCCTGTGGAGGTCAGCGATAGCATACAGCGGTACCACGCCGACGGGACGGCGCTATGTCCAGGTATCAGCAGCTAAGAGCTCCCAAGGATCGTACTCCATGTCTTGTCTCGGAGGTTGTGGATATTCCACAGACGTCATGACAAGCTCGGACCCTACCTTCGGGACGTCTGTCGCCCTCTCTGAGAACTTTCTTGCTATCGGTTGCCCCGGGAACAACTACGTGCGAGTGCTGAAAGCGAGTGGAGCTGATTTGTCCGCAGATCCTTACAGCCCGTTCACTGGTTGGACTTTGTTTAACACCTTTTACGGAAATCCGGATCAAAACTTTGGTCAACAGATGTCAATAAGCAGCAACTTTCTCATCGTTGGAGCTCCTGCAACGTCCTGTACCAGTGGGATGGTTGCAGTGTATAGAGTGGATGGATCGACAAACGTCTCGAAATTCTGTGAGATTACAGACTCGAACATCGGCAGTCTGTTTGGGTTCTCAATCGCGCAAATCTCGTACGGAAACCTTACTTTTGCTGTTATCGGTGCTCCTGGAGAGAACATGGCTTATGTCCTTGCACTAAGACATTCTCCGTACCTGTGCGAGGTTCGAAACTCCTTGGCCCCGGTCAGCGGCACTGTGTTTCCAGGAGATCAATTCGGCTACTCAGTTGCCATCAACAGGCAGTCCATCTTTGTTGGAGTTCCTTACTACAGCACCCCAGATATCTCAGGGTTGCTGTATGTTTTCACCTACTGCTCGCCAGGTTATGTGGCTGCTTCCTCCTCTTCTTGCACTCCCTGCTCTACAGGTCAAACGTCCGACGGCGGGGTGTCGCGTTGTGTCCCGTGTAACGTCTCAATACCTCAACATGCTTCTTGTTCCCCAGGCTGCAGCCCCTCGTGTGAATGTAATGCTGGGTACTTTGGAGATCGGTGCTTGCCATGCTCGCAGTACGCTCTCAGTGCAGGGCATACAAAGCCTCTCAATTCCTCTTGGATTGACCAGCAGGCAACCTGCACTTGGAAATGCGACATGGGGTTTCAGAAGACGAACGATACTTGCCTTGCTTGTCCGAACACTGATCAGTTTGACCGACTGCTACACGTGGAGTGGATACCCGGAACCTGCTCATGGCGGTGCAAGGCCACCTACTTCAGAGTCAATCAAAGTGGGATTGAAACGAACTGTACCTTGTGCTCGCAGTACAAGGCTGCTCTAGGTCAGCAACCCCCTGCCAATGCGGAATGGCTGGATCGCTTCAACGAATGCAAGTATGTTCCGCTCCCTGGATACTCATGTCAGTCAGATCAAAATTGTTTGGCATGTAATGTTTCAAAACCAAACAATTCTCACTGGCTCACTGTGAATGATCGCTACTCCTCTCCGAGCCAGTCAGTCACCATAACTTCTCTTTGTGAATTCGCTTGCGACCAAACCTTCTTTATCGCTCCGACTTCGCCGCCCACCTGCGTACCATGTGACGTCTACATGAGCAATTTCAGCGATGCGACTTTGCCCGCCCATGGCCTCTGGCAGGCTTCTACTGCCGTCTGCACCAGTGACTCGTGGATGTGCACGGCAGGTTACAGCCGCAGCAACACAAGCCGCTACTGCTGTCCGAACGCCGTCAACCATTCCGTAGTGAACCAGAGCTATGCTCCCTGCGGCGTCTCTTGCGAGTATGGGTATCGATGGAGCAACGAGCTGGCTTCATGTCTCCAGTGCAATACCAACATGACGGAGGGAACATTCAGATGGTTGTTGGATTGCGACTTCGAATGCTTCTGCAATGATACTGTTTGCTATCATGGCAAAGAGACTCTCGGTGCATGTTACACCTGCCAGGAGTATTCACAAAAGGTCGGATGGGTTCCTCCACTGTACGGGGAGTATCCAGTGTATTCCAAGACTTGTCGCGTTGATGATTGGCAGTGCAAGAATGACACTTTCAGCAAGTCGCTGGTGGCTACGCCTCCTGGATGCTGCCTGAAGTCGACTCCCAACGCCGTAGCGAATCTTTCCAGCCCAGCCACGTGCAACTTGGATTGTGAGCCCGGGTACAGGTGGGATCCTACCAGGAAGCAATGCTTCTACTGTGGGATTCCCTTCCCACGATCTGCGCACATGCTCTGGTCGTCGTTGACCTGCAAATGGATATGTGAGCCTGCGTTTATGCAAGTCTTTAACTCTTCCTCTATCCAATCTGAAGAATTTCAATGTCTCAATTGTCCGACCTATGCAGCTTTCAATTCCTGGCAGCTACCTAGCCTCGCGTATTGGGTCAACTCAACCACACTGGAGCAGCAAGGTGCCATCTGCTCGACAAATGCTTGGCAGTGTGCTGATGGCTACCTCAAGAATGCCCCGGCGAAACTTTGCTGTCAGAATCTGAGTTTCCCATTCAATGCTGGTAAATTTAGCACAACGAGTTGTGACTGGATTTGCAATGTGGGGTTGTTCCCGAAAAATCGTATAGGAGAGACAAGTACTTGCTCACTGTGTTCATGCACATGTGAACAATACCTTGCATCTTTCGGGATTGAATCTCCATGCCAAACTTGCTCTGCTGCTTTCAGCAAAGCGTCAGGTTGGTGTAGCAGCGTTGGATTTAGCTCTGCCCCGTCGGCCTGTACCGTTTCAATCAAGGGTTTTTTCATGATCAAGGGAATAAGCTTACAGAGCTTCTTCGCTGCGTCTGTCGTGAAAAGTACCCTTGCTGCATTAGGAGGTATTCTTCTGTTCCTTACACATCAGACACTGACCTCTCCTCAAAGCTATCATCAACCCAAAAATTGTTCCCGTTGTAGCAAGCGCAACACAAGCAGCTCAAACCAGGCGTTCAACTGCCGATTCCGTCTCCTTAAGCGTGATCTATCAAAACGTCGATCCTACGATAAGCAGCTTCCTCTTAAGTCAGATCGACAATTACGCAAGCAGAGCCATTGAGAGCGCGTTATCTTCAAACGGATATAGCGTGCAGGTTGCGAACTTGTTATGTCTCGAGCATTCAAATCATGATCAGTTTCTGCACGGGCAGGTAACTCTCGCTCAGCAACCCACGCGGTTCATTTCCGGTGCTTCTGTCTCGTGCAGGTTGAGGTTCTCTTGGAAGTGAATCATCTGAACACGATTTGAACAGTGTTGGATATACTTACAACCCCGAGACCGGAATCTGCTGCCCCTCATCAAAATTTCGAAGTCCACCAAATGTAAGGATATCAAGTGCATGACCTTCTGCGCTTTGACGCTGATAGCAGGGGAGTTACGTCTGGTCAACCGATGGATGTACTTGGAGCTGTCAGCCATACTACTTTGTAATCATTTCTGTGCTTCTTACGCCGAAAATGATTGTTTGCGATTTGACAGGGAGATAAATGTGTGACGTCAGTGCCAAACACTTGTTGACAACCGACAATTATCACAATCCTTTGCAGATGTGAACAATCACGGGCGGGATCGTACAAGCCGCAGTACGCATATTGGGACAATAATAGTCCAACGTAATTCATTGTTCTTGATGCAATATCTTGTGCAAAAAGATTGCTCTGAACAGTGTCATCAGATGTGACCAATGGAAATGCATTCAAGGCTACGTTGTCTCGCAAACTGGGACAACATGTCTCTCACTCGCAGATATGACTGCAAAGTGTTCCGGATACTTCAACTGCGCGGGATGCACAAATGATGCTCATTGCGTGTGGTGTTCGGACAAGTGTGTGCCGGGTCAGGTGCTTACAAGCTCGGCTGTACCTCGTACCACCCCTGACTTGTCGAGACAGGGCAACCTTGCAGGCAAGGGCTGCACGTACAATGACACGACGATCTCGACGAACTGCACCTGTGAGAAAGTCACCTGCACATACGAGGTAAGTCTTCAAAGAGCTGACTGACTCACCCCCATCTCACTTCTTCCCGTCCCAGTGCAAGCACACCTCGTGCGGCTCCTGCGTCAATGACAACTTCTGCGGCTGGTGCTCGTCCAGTAGCCAGTGAGACTCTCAGTGAGACCACGTCTGCCGCCAGCTGAGTCGCCCAGGTGCATGCCAGGAGACTACTTCTCTCCCAACGCTGGCCTTGGAGCTTGTCCGGTCGGGTGGAGTGTGGGGGCATTTGCCAACTGCCCTCAGAACAACAACATCTGGTTGGTCGGCATCATCTGCGCCGCCGTAAGATCTTGACTCGGGTGTTGAAGTCGAATCTCACGAGCTCTTGCAGATCAGCACCTTCCTCATCGTGATCTTGTGCATTCACTTCATCCTCCGCATCCGAGCCGCTTCCAACCGGCGGCCCCGCTTGATGTTCTTCCAGTACGGCGATCAGTCTGGTGGCCTCGTGGTACTCCACGAAGTTGACGATCGAGTCTCTTCACGTTGAGTGTGTTGATCGCAGGCGCGGGAGCAAGTTCAACGCTTCCTTGACACCTTCCCTACGTTCAAGTTCGATGTGAGGAGCTGCTGACTCGCTGATCATGGTGACATGCTCATGACTTGCTCCTCGCAGGAGAACAAGCTTCCCCCGTCTTTCTCAGCTTCACGATCATCCGAGGCAGAAGGTCAGACAGAAGGTCAGACAGACGGCCAGGACGAGGAGGACAACCGACCGACATGCTCGATATGCCTTGGCAACTTCTTCACCGGAGAAGACTGTCGCATGCTGCCTTGCCTACACGTCTTTCACAAGAACTGCATCGACCAGTGGCTCTCGATGAGGTGAGCGAAGGAACTGAATTGCTCGATTGACTGTTCGGCTCTCAGTCAAGAATGCCCCTTGTGCAAACGCTCCGTCATCAGCATGGCCAGCGAGGGGGTAGGAGCTGTTGTTTCCAATCTATGAGTCACATCTCTTTGTTGGTAGGAAAACTCGACAGCAAGCGCTTACCTGGTGCTTTTGCAGCAACACCAACAAAACCAACGTCAGCAGGATCAGAATGCAAGTCTAGGACAACCTCATGAGAGCCAGGAGCCGGCGGGGCATCAGAACGAGCCGGGGGGTCATCAGCACGAACAGCAGGCTCGCGCTCCGACAGCAACAGCGGCTGTACCATTTGACGACAGTAGAGTCGAGGGGATCGTCGATCAGTGCAGGTGAGAAAGAGTGACTTGCTTCCATCTTGTGACCTGCATGTCAGAGATGAGGGTGATAGCGAAGGGTCTGTGGACGCTGTTGTATGATGTATGTGAACCCTTTTGAGGAGAGGCCGATCTGCCATTTTAAGTTAGAAGCGTGAGAGAATCGTCTGTAAAACTAGTTTAACAGTACAATATTGTTGCCCGATGCAGCAGGCTGCACGCTTGGATTCGACTAGAAGTCGTCACCCTCTCAGTGCGCGGAAGATCGGCAGGCTGCCGGGCAGTGTCACGAGTCACCCAACGCGCGGCCACGGATAGTCTCACGGATAGTCCCACGGATAGTCCCACGGATAGTCCCACGGATAGTCCCACGGATAGTCCCACGGATAGTCCCACGGATAGTCCCACGGATAGTCCCACGGATAGTCCCCGATTTGGCATGGATTGACAAGCATGGCGGAGGAAGGGAGTAGGAGATGGCGACAGGCGACGGCAGGCATGGCGATGATCATGCTTGTCCTGCTCGTGTGGACCTCAAGTAGCCGGCATGACGGGACTCCTATATCCACCTCTTCTGCTCTTCTCTCTAGCATCAGCAGCAGGGCCGGGGCACTATGGCGGTCGACCACGGGATACCTTTCGGCTGATCAAGTCATGTGGCAGTCTAGGACAGCTCAGCGTCAGATCGGCGCAGCAATCAGCTTCGATGCGCAGAGATCATCGAGGCTACCTAGACTTCGTCCTCTGTTCTTTCCGACCTATCATGTCAGACCTATGGAATTTCCACAGTTGAAATGGAAGAAAGACGTAGACTTCTCTACGATCCAAGACTCTGATGAGATGATCTCGAAGGTCCTTGGAGCAGAAACAAGTCAGGTTGCTGTGCAGCAGAGGATCCGCAAGGAGACTATCCTCAGGGAGTTGCGAATGCAAGGCGCAGTTTCCGGCGATCTGCACAGTAACACTGCTCATACAATGTCGCTGTCGGAGATGGTGAAGTGATATCTTGACTGCGGTTCTTACTGTATGACCTTGCTGCTCTCTTTTGATGCAGACGAGCGACAGGCATGAAGGAGTTGACGTAAAGATGTTAGATTTCGTGCACTGGGCGCTGGCGAAGAGGATCACTTCACTGCCAGAGGACACGATCAGGTGCATTGGGGAAAGCAACCTGACGGATCATCAGCACGCCGAGTTCCACAACGCGAGTGAATGTGTCGGTAACCTTTGCTCCTCCTCCTAGTCGATCGCTCACGTTTCCGTCAAGGGAGGAGAATCCGGGCTGGCCTTGCTGCTCCTTCGGTGAGTCCTTGGACAGGGCTCTTCGGTTGGTGACAGAAATCAACAGGAGCGGATGGTGCGAGACTATATCGAGAGCCCTGGTTCTTGACGACAAGATTTCACTATGAGAGGCTGACATGATGGAAGGCAACTACCTCAGATTGATTTCTTGCACTCAATCCATGAACGCGTCCTTGAAGCAAATTGTGCTTTCATTTCGTTGTATGCAATGACATCTGAAACACGTCTGTGATGTCAGGTTGAGGGCTGTGTTTCCAAGATACAGATAGACAGAGATCAGCCCATCGCTCGATTTTGGGCGAATGCTGTTTCTCCGCATGCATCTTCACCGCTGGTACTCTCAGTGTCGAGCGGTTGAACTTGTTGTGACCCGCAATTTCAGGTGCACGTGCATTATGAAAGTGCGGATGTCAAAGTGAAGAGTACATGTTTTCTCTTCTCGTACAATCTTACCATTGATGGCAGGTTTACTACTTCGTGCAACACGCATTGATGCAGCGGTTGACGGGGATGGAGGGAGGAGGAGCAGACTGTCTGCAGGTGCATCACAAGAACAGCTGAGTGATCCTGCATGACTCGAGATGACAGGAGCATGGGCTGAACATGTCACAACTGGCTTCCTTCGCAAACTCAAGCATGTGCTTGGGTAGGTTGCTTATCATGTCTTGCTGCTCCTGAGGCATCCAAGGGGAAGAGATCAAGGAGAATATAGGACCTGGCGATAGTGAGAGGATGGTGAAGGACTTCCTGGAGGGCCCAGGTCAGGATCATGAAGCTGTGGGAGAGTGTAAGAGTCTGAGATGAAAACACAGACAACTACAACAAGCTGTATCACTGTGTACAACTTCTGGACGACGAAACGAAGGTCTGATGTTCAACTTCTTCTCGTACGCTCCCCTAATGAGCATGAAGGCTGCGGTGGGAGCTTGTCTCTCTAGGCTGGGAGCTGCAGACAGCTCGCCGGTGAATGAAAAAGCTTGTTGAATAATTTCGTGAGCTATTTGACAGGTCAGGGAGTTCTGGGAGTCGAGCCTTGGCTACTACTGGGCATGATTGTCTGATGTGATTTTATATTGTTGAAGGTTCTGTTTATTTTTCTGTTAATGCTTGCTCTTATTGTTGACAACGTCTGGTATGAGATTAAAACATCCCATATGAATCATCTCGCATCCGTGTATGAACAAAGAATTCCACTGGCTTGAGGGGAGGGGAAAAGGGGGCTAAGGGGAGAAGGAGAGGAAGGAGAGGAGCAAGGAGGAGAGAGCAGGTGCTAACTTTCTTCATGGCGTTTGATCTGTAGCAGGATGAGCGCGGCTTGCTCCGTCTGGCCATCTCCCTCGACTTCATCGACCTGTACGAGCGTCTTCGTCTCGCTGCTGCTGCCGAGGCACATCCTGCACTGGTGTCGCCTCCTACCATGAGCACAAATCTGCGACCCCTTGCACTCTTTGCACAGGCTTCTTCTCTTCTTGTGCCAGCATATTTGAGACCCACCGCAATCTCGGCACTGGCTCCTCCTGCGCATATGCGTGCAGATCCCCGACCCTCGACAGTCTATGCACTGATGCCGCTGCCTGCTGTGGGCACAGATCTGCGAGCCCTTGCATTCCTTGCACCAGATCTTTTTGCGGTTGTGCTGGCAGAAGTAGTGATAGTCTTTCTTCTTCCTTTCGCTCTTTTGCGGCTCTTCACTCCCCAGCACCCCACCAGGTTCAAGCAAGCTCATTTGATGGCTCAAGCCACGGATCCTATCCTTTCGTCCTGCCTCCTTCCTGCCGCCTTCCTGCCTCAAGTTCCTTCCTGTCTTCCTGCACTCCCTTGGCTACCTACTGCACTGGGATATCTTTTTTGAAAAAAAATAGTCATCAGCGTGACGCAATCGGCACTCAGGCCCGGCAGCCGGCGCGGCGATTGATGATGAGACTACGGTACCAGGTGAATCTGATCATCAACGGCTCTCAGCCCCCTGTGACGGTAGCATCGCCAGTCTCTTAGCAAAGTACCAGGATACAAAATTTAAACAACGAGGATCAAGGTAGACAACAGCATTGTCAACATGTAGAGGAACAAGTTCTTTGAATCTCGAAAAGGTGAGCTCGAGGCCGTGAGCGGGCAAGCCAGGTCGCCGCCGAGTCGTCCAATGCAGAAATCTCGCAGTAGCTGTATTCTATGAAAAAACAAGAGATGAGATTCAAACATATCTTTGATTTGTAAGAATCACCTGCAGCCTTCGCAAAGGCGGATAACATCTGCATAAGAGAGAAATCATGCGATCAGTGACAGGAGGTTTTTCAACCAAAAGCATGCTGCTCTTGCCGCTCACCTTTCGATCCGACTAAGATGTCCACCTGTCGTACACATCAGCGATTTCTGATGAGTAGACAGATCAAAGCAAGATTGCATTACATTTCCTGTGATGAACTCGTCTGAGTACTTCAGTTTGCGACCATCCTCTGAGATCTGAGTGTTTGGCGGGTTCGTATCAGGATGGAGGCCCGTGCAATGTTTCTGCACGAAGTCTACATGTCAGTCCAGCGTTTCAGATCGTCATCGCAACCTTGCGATCGATTTCAAACGCTGTGTCGCTGAGGCAGTAGCATGCGTCGCAATAGCAGAGGGAACAGAGGGCGTTGTCGCACGTGCAGCCCTTCTCTACTGCCCATGCGTGCATCCTAATGTAGGCTGCTGTCTTGGGATCAGCCTGCGGTTCCCATCAGCTCCAGCAGAGCAGGGAAGGCACCAACTTGCCTCAATGATCATCGACCCCTCGAAGATCGGAACGTCCAGCTCCAGGTAACGCGGCGTCGTTGAGTTTTGCGCCTGATTCCAGTCGTCCAACCACGTCCCTCGAGACCAGGATATCTTGATGTGCATGCTGGAAAGCGATCTCAGCAGGCGAAGGCAACGGCAGGAGGCGTGCTCACGATCCGAGGAGCTTGCTACCGTCAACCTCGGTCACAACTTGGCAAGGGTTCAGCTCCATGGAAAAGGCATAGAGGGTCCACCCTGTTGGGGTTGTGTGGATTGGCTTGTCGACATTCTCTGTGAAGTTCGCATTTCCCCCGCAGGCCACAGAGCGCTCGCCGATGTCGTCACAGTAGATCAAACTCTTGGCAAGAATTGCGGTGGATGAGTCGACTTTGGTCCTGTCATCGAAAGGGACATCAAACTAGTTATCAATACAGCACCTATCGCTCCCTTACCTACAAAACGCTCCAGGTTGTATCTGTGTTTGCCCGCACCCACAGTTGACCATAGCAATGAACACCAAGACCACAATCTGCATCCTCTTGCCTTGATTCATGCTGACAGCAGACAAGCAGATCAATTGCTATCCCCTTGTGAACGCTTGGATAACCACTCCGGTGGAAATCAAAATGATTCCAGCATTGAGCCTCTGCACCAGTTCACGTGTCTGACTCAGAGTTTGAGGTTTCTGCCATTCTCGTACCGCAACCTGTCGCTAGTGCCGCCATCGAGCCCTGCCATCGAGCCCTGCCATCGAGCTGCCTGCCAGGTTTACTAATCGGGTATCATGACGTTGACGAGGTCCATCAACAGACGTTGCCACCAGACTAGAGTGTAGAGTAGTTGTACCATGTCATTTACTAAAATATATTACTCAAATCTTACAGTAGCATGAGACTTAAAATAATATATAGGAAGAGTACCTGATCCGGGTACTCTTCAGAGAGGTAATATAACAGCTGTTCGTACAAATATAGCATTCATTTCTTGTACTAGCAAACACGCAGCTTGTACCAGTTGGAAAGATTACTAGATTTAGGCTAAAGAGAATCTACCAATAAGTTATATTTAAAGTTATAATATTTTTATTTGTTATAGAATCTTTATTTAAAAGTATTTTATTCGTAAATATTGGATCTGTCACCTTCGCGCTGACGCGTGAGATACGAACCGTTGCATCTTTACAACTGTACCCCCACCCCCATTATACTACCCCCACCATCAAAACCCTCCATGAACCCACACCCCTACCCACAGTCGCAAATTTGGATACCCCTTGTTTCATCAGTGAGTACCCACCCATTCTAGGTATTGATCAACACACCCTACGAAGAACCTTTTGATGACCTCTTATTTCTACCCCCCCTATTCAACTCTACCCAACAAAAAGCTTTTAATCTACCCTACCTGGTTATTTCGTGAGAAAACCAGGGGTATATCCTCCTATTCCAGCGATCACCTCTTTGATTCTGCCCTCTTTCCTTCCCCTTCCTTTCCTGCTCTGTTCTCCTGCATATCACCTCATCAGCCCCTCCTCCTCTTCCTCCCGACTTGGGGACTCCCAGTCCCTCCATAGTCGCTTCCTCTTTCGGTAGCAGACTCCATTCGCCGTTGATCTATTGCTCAGGGCAGGCTCAGGTTATTCCCACGTAGCTCCAGGTCAGGACCAGCAGCACAGCATGAGTCTCTTCCGCTCGCATTCTCTCCCCTCGCTCACGAACCTCACGGAAGAGCAGCAAGCTTACCTGGCTGAGCGCGCCAACACTCACCGTACCAACTTGGGCGATGGCAAGGTCACGGACAGCTTTTGGATGAAGAGGGTAGATGTGATCTCAGACGGATCCAAGTGCTTATCGAGCATCCTGAACGCCAAGAAGAAGACGGAAGACATGCCGAGCGCTGCTCCTGGCGGCCTGTCCCGCGCAATGGATCGCTCCATCTCCATGCCGAACCTGAGCGCGATGGCCTCTTCGCCGATGAGGAACCAGCCCATGAGGAGCCAACGGATCCTTCCAGAGACGATCCACGAGTCCAACCACGAGGCACAAGACGAGCAGCAGTAAGGTCTCGTCAGGCACGTTCTTCAGTCGTCTCAGTCGCAGCCCAACTTCATTCTAGCTTGTGATCTTCAGGACTCTCAGAGTTGTCAGCCATTTCCTTGCATGTCTTTTTCTCTGGGCTGGAGATTTTGTCGGCTCATCTCCCCCTTGTCTTCCTTGCAAACTATTTGACTGCCCAATGTCCTTTGTTTTGATTTAATAAACAACTGAAAACATCACCAGACATTTGCTGCCCTCAAAGCTCTTGTTTCTTCATCGTCTTCCAGAAACTTGTCAGTTTGTGGATCATTGAGCTCACCGTCGACAGCAACTTGGAGGACAAGTCTTTGATAAAGGCGATTCGAGGACGTGAAATGATCCCTGAAAAGGACGGAAACGCGACTGATGGATTCTTTCCTGCCTCTTTCGCAACTGTCATGCATGCATGTCATCAGTTTCCTGCCTCTCTCCCTCCTCCCTCCTCCATCCCCATCCTCCTTTGCACCGCACCTGGCATTTTCTCAGCCCCCTCCTTCTCTTGCTCTTCGTCTGTGCTGTCGTCTCTGCGACTCTCCTGCTCTTCCTGCTTCTTCCTCCCTGAGGCCACGAGCGGGCCCAGAACGTCACGCTTCACCCGCAGGGCATCGATCTGATGCTGAGGGAACCTGGAAGAGAGAGAGTGAGGAGACGGGAGCGAAGCGAGAGGACAGGTACTTGAGGGACTGCAGGCTGGCGTCATCGAGGAATCTCAGGTCCTGCAGGCTCTCCACCCCCAGCTCCAAGACTTCGATGCGCTTGTCCTTGGGGATGCCGATGCTGGCGAGGAAGTTGTTGAGCTCGGCAGCTGCATCAACGGCAAGATAAGAAGATCTTTGTAGCGCACCTCCAGCTGAATCTCACCTGCAGTAGAAGGAGCCTCCTCAGCCTTCTTCGTCCCATCTTCTCTGCTGCGCGAGTCCTCCTTGACAACATTCTGCTGTTCTTCAGCTATCTCCCCCTCCTTCCGCTGCTGCAATAACGACAGCCGATCGTCTTCCTGTCTTTTGCTCTCCTCCTCCTGCTTGCGCTTCCGCTCCTCAAGCTTAGACATCCTTTCCAAAGTCTCCTCCTCCTCGGCCTGCTTGCGCTTCCGCTCCTCCTCCTCGGCCTGCTTGCGCTTCCGCTCCTCCTCCTCGGCCTGCTTGCGCTTCCGCTCCTCCTCCTCCGCCGCCTGCTTGCGCTTCCGCTCCTCCTCCTCCTCGGCCTGCTTGCGCTTCCGCTCCTCCTCCTCGGCCTGCTTGCGCTTCCGCTCCTCCTCCTCCTCGGCCTGCTTGCGCTTCCGCTCCTCCTCCTCGGCCTGCTTGCGCTTCCGCTCCTCCTCCTCCTCGGCCTGCTTGCGCTTCCGCTCCTCCTCCTGCGCCTGCTTCTTCTTTGTATCTTCGATTTCAGCTTGGTTCATTGCTTCTTGCTGCCTTTTTGCTTCCATTTCCTGATTCTTTATATCGTGTGTCAGATGCCCCACAATTGCACTCGAGGACATGTCTACCTTGAGCTCTTCTAGCTTTGATTTCTCTTCCTTCTCCTGCACAAATCTTCTCAGCCCCCCCCCCCCAACCCCCTCCCCCCCACTCTAGCCTCATCACCATCCTCCTTCGCGCTTGCATCTCAGCGACAAGCTTCGCCGCTTCCTCCTTCGCCAGCCTGCGCATGGCTTCGGGATCCTACGACTCCATATGTCAGCAAGCAGTTACCTCCATCCTCCCTTGCCTTGACTTCGGTCGTCGACGCTGTGTGCACGTCCTCCATTTGCGCTTCGCCACCGTCTGCCAACAACCTCAATATCTACCTCGACATCTACCTCGACATCTACCTCAACATCTACATCAGCATCTACCTCAATATCTACCTTAACATCTCCTACAAAGATGGGCCCTGCTTACCTGCGTGTGCCAAGGACACGAGGGTGACGAGGGCGATGCAGAGCAGCAGCTTAGACGTACTTCCCTGCATTCCTAACATGCTGCAATGAGCCTGGAATGAAAGTTATCTTCCGTGCGAAAGGGTTATGCCATGTTGAAACATCAACATGTCTCAAGATAGAGAAGAGCGAGATGTTGTCATGTTCGGCGGATCGAGATGTGCCTCAGAGGTTTTGAGCATGTACATGAAATGAACATCTCTAGCAACTGATCTCGATCATCCTCTTGCTCCCCCCTTCGCCATCGCGGCTATCGTCTGAACCAACATGCCGTGCGGTCTTCGGCTCTTCTTCAGTTCGACTTCTGTCCTCATTTATAGCTCCCTCATCGGACAATCAGTCAAGTACATAACTCTTGACCACTTTTGTTTTTCCCGTTTCCTCATCGCGGACATATCTTACTGTTATTTCTCCTGCTCCTGCTCCTGCTCCTGCTCCTGCTCCTCCTGTTACTCCTACTCCTGATCCCTCTGCTACCGCTCGTAATTCTCCTCCTGCTGCTCTTGCTGCTCGTGTTTCTGCTCCTCCTACTACCGCTCCTCCTGGCACCGTTTCTGCGCTGCTAGCGCTCCTGATGCTCCTGATGCTCCTGCTCCTCCTGCTCTTCCTGCTGCTCCTGCTCCTCCTCTCATACTAGGTGGTCATGAATCTACAAAATTCTTGCACAGTACAAATGGATGATGTCGTGGCATCCTTGTAAGGGAAGGGTAGGGTACTCAGACTACGGGTTATTTTGCAATAATAAGGGGGGATGAACCAAGAACACCCACCCCGAGGGTGGGTAGTACTTCTTGCAAGAGAGCCGTATGGAGCAGTGCAGATGTCGACGAGCTTGGCAAGTGAAGCAGCTCATGTCGAGCGAGGGGCTGGGGAGCTGCTACGACAGCAAGACATGGCGCGCTCAACATGCCTGTGCGGACAGATAGGATGAAACGACCGGAGGGGCAGCTGCTCTCACGTAAAGTGAGACAGCAAGGGGCAGCTGCTCTCACTTAAAGTGAGACAGCAAGGCCAACAAGCAGATCAACCTCATCCTGGTAGGTGACGCAGAGGCAAGGCAAGACGAGCGTGCTGAGAGCTCTGAGGTCAGAGAAGAACAAGGCGGACGAGATCGAGGTAGACAGGAGGACGATCGGGATAGACCTGCACGAGTGGAAGCCTGAGGACGCTGACGGGCTGACGTTTGACGTGATGGACTTCGGGGGGCAGCAGATCTACGCCAAGGCGAACCAGTACTTAGACGTACAAGAGAAGTGCAGAGGAAGGCGAGGAGAGTATGGAGGAGCTGAAGAAGATGATCCCTACATGGCTGCGAGCTACACAAGCGCGAGTGCCGGACAGCACATCGATGTGCTGCTGCGGAGGACGATGAGATGATATCTTGCCGTTACGAAGGCGAGAGCTTCCGGGTGACTTGTCTTGAACAACAGGGGGTCAAGGAGCTGTCGCAATCTGTGTGCAAGACCGCGAAAGAGCTGACCGAATCCTGTCACAGTGCCAACAACTACCGCGGGGCTGTTCGACAACGCTCTCTCCGCATGGATCAGGATATTTTCAATGCCAAGTTCTTTCGTCCGCAGAAACCTTAACTACCGTACAGCAGCCTGTGGCTCCGCAGCTCCTGGATGCTAAGAGGTGGCTCGTATTCTCAACCATCTTATGCATCGAGTTTCTGAGCAATATCTGGTGCGTTGGAAAGGAATTCTTCCGCAGAGGACGCCTGGGAACCTGTTTCTCATTTATCGCGTACACCTGCTCTTCGTCGGCTGCTTCAGAATCATGAACAGCATCGCGGACGTCAAGATGCTTCTGCTTCCCGATCCTCTGCACGGCGGCAGCGTCGTGTGTCTCTCAATCAGTTGTGGACCGTCGGATAGCAGGAGCAAGTAGAGCTGTAGTAGCCGAGTTTATTAGAAATCTAGATTAGTCGCATCGGGTCCTCCCCGGCCTATTCTAGTCTAAAGGGGTTCTCACGCTTGGCAGAGCGGCCACAGCAAATCAAGCTTGTGCGAACTTCTGCCTACCCTACCCTTGACTGATGAAGCTACACGTCGGAGTGTATAGACTCGTGACAAGCAGCCTGGCAGGATGAACTTCCCAGGAAAGATGGGTTCCTCCTCCATCAAGGTTGTCTTCTTTGAGGGGTGGTTTATGGGTTCTCTTTGCTCGTGCAAGTAGAACACTACCCTGCCTCTCTTCGTACGGTTTCAAGCCGTGACCTCTGCTTCCCTCTTCGAAGCTACTAAGAGGATCATCGTCAGCAGAGCTAGTTGGTCCTGTTCCCCTTTGCGTGTACACCACGCCTGTGTTGCATTTGCTTGTGTGTGAGAGACATTGGGAGAATATCGAGAGTGATAGTAGACCTCACTCCTCCTGTCACACCTCTTCCCTCTTAGTAAAGAAATCCAACTTAAGTTCTTGTTGAGCTGCTCTGAAGGCTTCCCTGAGAAGCTTCGGGGGGTGACAACCTACACAGCAGCAGAATCGCCCGAAGAAAATCAGTTGAACTTCGGAAACGACTCTGAGCAAATGTAGTGCAGTGTAATGAGCATTTCTTGTGATACTCTGTAGTGCATGCAGACACCCACAGGATCGCAATTTGAAATCTCGTTGTGCTGCTGTTGGAGAGGAGGAAGAGGACGACTGGATATTAGACCAAAACAAACCTGCCTCAAAACCAACTCCAGATAGGAGACTTGGCATGTTCACTCTCCCCCTCCTCCCTTGTTCAAGCACTGCGGGGCTCCTCTAGCCAGCAGGAGATGGACATCACCTCTGAACAATGCAGATCAAGATCAAAAGAGCACGGAAGGCTCAAGCTCAGAAAGAAAACTTCACAACGCGTCCGTTGCAAAAGAGACTAACAACAAACGCTGAAGAGAACACATACCCAAGCTAACCAAAGAACTTGGACAGGCTCCCGACCCAAAATCCTCTGCATACGTTGGCAAGCGCAGAAATGCGATGATCGAGGACCCAGCAACGAGATTGACCAAGTCTACGAGGACTGATGCAACATGGCACCAACTTTCATCATGTCAGGAAATCATACCACAGCTGCCATAGCAATTTGAATAACTCGAGCCCTAGATAAGCGACTTGGCATACGTGTGCTCCTCGAAGCTCAGGGACCCTCTCCAGCTGACAGGTGATGCCTGTTTTGCCGCCCTTGAGATCGCTCCCCGGCAGGCTGTTCTCGAGACAAGACCAGTCTCGGGACAAGGCCGACCAGCCATACATGTCCATCAAACAAGAAAATCGCGTTTCATGCAAGCTGCGTGAGCACATCATGATGATGTGCGCTGCATCAAGACATACAGGAGCTGCTTGTCAGATTGCTGGGGTATCAGTTTCAAAGCCTCATCTCCTTCATTACTAACCTATCACTCTTCCTTCAAGTCGTCTACTCCTGCCAAGTCGCTTCTCTGCGTCTTGCTAAGTCTTGCAAGCGCGGGCCTTGCTTTCGAGGATCAGCTCGCCCAATGGTGCTATTTTGATATCGAAGACATCGAGATGCCTATTGAACTTGTTGCACACTTCTCTGAAGAATCGCTTTTCCACTTCGCTGGCGCGCTTGTCCAAGTACACGAAGTTCCCCAGTGGCCAACGGAAGATATCAGTCGGCAGGCTCTTGTAGAGATGTATAGTCGTAGTGAAATCAGCAGGCAGCTCCATATCCTCGTTGAGCCCCAGCCTTCTCCACATCTCACGGCGAAGATCTTGAGACTGCAACATCCTGTATATTCTCTCCATCGGCAGCGATTCTTTCTCCAGCCGATACCAGCCCTCTCGAGACACGTTGGAAGCGTCAAACAGACGACTTATCTCCTCGTCGCTCAAGTTCACATTGCATGCTACTTGCTGGAACAGGTCTTGAAGTAGACATCTGATCGCAGAGGTACATCGGTTAGTAACCCCAAATCAAGCCCGGTGCAGTCATGTACCTTTGGGTAGGATACGAGAGTATATACTTGAAGTAGCTCTCTTCTTTCTCAAGTTCGTTTCGGAGCTGTCTCTCAAGGAACTGTTTTTCAATCTTGATTGAAGAAGCCAAATCCTTTTTCTGATCGTGCAGCTCAAGCTCTACCAGCTGCTTCTTCCTATCCTTCTGTAGTATCCAGAATGCAACTTCATAGGGCGCCAAGCTCTGGGTCCCCAGCATCTTCTGAGCTCGGGCGAGAAACGGGTCGGAAGGCTCTTTGGGGCTCTCAGGGTCTGCAGCCGTATCGCTTGAGCCTGTGGTCATCAAGCGATGCCGCAAGCTGCGAGGACGCGTCAGGGAGGCCATGGCGACTTTCAGGAGATGCTGAGCAGCACTGTGACATGCTCTTATGGGGACGCCGCTTGCTACCAGCATAGTGTTCAAGTTCTGAATCCTACCAGGAGGTAAAGCCTTCGCGGTAGGGGTAGATGCAGGCGACCCGGTCACCGGGTGCGGTAGGTCCAGGGTGGTATGTTGAACGGCGTGGCTACAACGGTTGAAGTCAAACCAATGCTCTTGTCCTGCATCTGTCATGCAACAATAAGTGTCTGACAGATGCCGGACACGAGCATAAGTCTGAGGTCTTGTCCGGCAGGGAGGGCAAAGTTGCCAGTAAACATTTTGTCCTGCATTTTCAATGAAAGAAGAAAAAAACTGTGAAAGGCAGGGCATGCTTATGGAAGGGTGCTCATAGCAGAAAACATATGCAGGACAAACTAATTAGTCCAATACTTTCACTCAACTTTGGCACCTCTAATTTCTCCTACCCCCTTGCCCTGCACTGTCAAATCTTATATAGTAAATGTGTGGCCCCAATACCCGGGTTTAGATCTTTTAGAGGGCCCACGGTATGATATTCGATCATACTATCCCTGGACCTACCGCACCCGGTGACCGGGTCGCCTGCATCTACCCCTACCGCGAAGGCTTTACCTCCTGGTAGGATTCAGAACTTGAACACTATGCTGGTAGCAAGCGGCGTCCCCATAAGAGCATGTGCTGCTCAGCATCTCCTGAAAGTCGCCATGGCCTCCCTGACGCGTCCTCGCAGCTTGCGGCATCGCTCGATGACCACAGGCTCAAGCGATACGGCTGCAGACCCTGAGAGCCCCAAAGAGCCTTCCGACCCGTTTCTCGCCCGAGCTCAGAAGATGCTGGGGAGCAACAGCGAGAAAGTAACTGAAGTTGCATTCTGGATGCTACAGAAGCAGACGGAGCTGGAGCTGGTAGAGACTCAGCTGCGCTATTACAAAGAAAACAACAATGTTCTTATGAAGAAGGCAAAGCAAGCTCATGAGCTGGAGCTTCGAAACAAAATACAGAATGAAGAGAGCTACTTCAAGTATATACTCTCGTATCCTACCCAAAGGTACATGACTTCAACGGGCTTGATTTGGGGATACTAACCGATGTACCTCTGCGATCAGATGTCTACTTCAACACCTGTTCGATCGAGTGGCATTCAATGTGAACTTGAGCGACGAGGAGATAAGTCGTCTGTTTGACGCTTCCAACGTGCCTCGAGAGGGCTGGGGTCTTCTGGACTATGAAACACTGCCGATGGAGAGAATATACAGGATGTTGCAGTCTCAAGATCTTCGCCGTGAGATGTGGAGAAGGCTGGGGCTCAACGAGGATATGGAGCTGCCTGATTTCACTACGACCGGTCATTTGCACGGGAACCTGCCAGGTGATGAGTTCTTTTGGACACCGGGGAACTTCGTGTACTTGGACAAGAACGCCAGCGAAGTGGAAAAACGATTCTTCAGAGAAGTGTGCAACAAGTTCGACAGGTATCTCGATGTCTTCGATATCGACAGAGTACCATTGGGCGAGCTGATCCTCGAAAGCAAGGCCCGCGCTTGCAGTCAAGCCGCTCAGGATAGTGCAGCGGTGACCAGCAAGGCTGAGCCTGAGTAGACGACTTGAAGGAAGAGTGATAGGTTAGTAATGAAGGAGATGAGGCTTTGAAACTGACACCCCCGCAATCTGACAAGCACCTCCTGTAACATCAACATGATGTGCTCACGCAGCTTGCTGGTCATCCTCGTTGCTGGGTCTTCGATCATCGCATTTCTCAGCTTGCCAACACATGCAGAGGAGTTTTGGTCGGGAGTCTGTCCAAGTGCTCTTTGGTTAGCTTGGGTATGTGTTCTGGATTATCCCCAAGAGTAGCCCAAGGATAGAGCTCGCTCCTCCTTGAGCTATCATAGTATCGTGATGATGTGCGCTGCGTCGAGACATTGACAAGCGAGGCCCGGCCCTAGAGAGCTTGCAGCGCTTGTGCGTGTCCCCCAAACTCAACTGATAACTTCACCTCACTGCGCGCACGACCATCTCCCGCGCCATGCCAGCGATGTCGCTGTGGCCGCCGCCGAAGGGATGAGTCCTCTTACGGGGACGCCGCTTGCTACCGTAGTACCAGCATAGTCTTCAAGTCCTGAATCCTACCAGGAGGTAAAGCCTTCGCGGTAGGAGTAGGTGCAGGCGACCAGGTGCGGTAGGTCCAGGGTAGTCTTTGTTGAATCACGATTTGGATGCTAACGGTACTATAGTGTTATTGGCACATGGGAGCTAGGTAGGATTGTGTACGACACATTTACGGTAGCTGACCCCGGCCCCAGGAGAAGGGTTTGGTCGCCTCTGGAACTTGAAGGTTACTAGGACAAGACAATGCTGCCAGTGGTAGCAAGCGGCGTCCCCGTAAGAGCATGTGCTGCTCAGCATCTCCTGAAAGTCGCCATGGCCTCCCGGACGCGTCCTCGCAGCTTGCGGCATCGCTCGATGACCACAGGCTCAAGCGATACGGCTGCACCCAGCTCTGCTACTGCCGACCCTCAGGGTCCTTTCTTCGATGAAGCACAGAAGCTGCTTGGAAGCCGGGACAAAGCATGCTATGACGTTGCATCCTGGAACAAAGTGTGCTATGAAGTTGCATTCTGGATGCTACAGAAAGAGACAGAGAACAACCACGTCGTGAGAAAAATGTGCGAAACCGTAGAGAAAAGCAAGCAGGCAAAAGAGAAAGTTGAGACAGAGCTGCGCGAACAACTGAAAGCGAGTCTCTCAGAACAGAACTCGCTCAAACATCAATTGTCGTTTCTGACTCAAAGGTGTTTGCGATCATGTTTGATGCTGTACTGACTGCTGATGAACGAGGTAGAAATCTTTTAGAAAAGCTGTTCAAGACAGTACGTGATATCGATTTCAAAGACAAGGAACTCTCAAAACTGTCCACAAAAGTGTTCATTGAGGCTCGTCGTTCCATGACAGGTATCAATCGTATTCTTGCAAAAGACAAAGAAATTCGCCGTGAGATTTGGCGACTCATGGATATTGATCAAAATCTAGAGTTGCCGGAATCAACTGTTCGTACCTGTAACAAGAACATGAAACCAGAATACAAATTTCTGTCTGAACAAATTCACAATTCTGAGGAGAAATGCGTGTACGTAGAGCGAGGATCAGACCCATCGAAGATACGATTTTACATGGAGATTTGCAAGAAGTTTGGCAAAACACTTGATATCTACGACTGGCCAGCAAGCAGGGCTCAAGGTGGTATGAGGTAAACCGTGGCTACAATGGTTGAAGTCAAACCAATGCTAGCGTCCTGCATCTGTCATGCAACAATAAAGATCTAAACCCTAGCTAAAGCTTGAGTTTACCGGTGGTTCGTTCCATTGTAGCTACCTTTTTCATGTGCCAAGATGGCCGGGTCGCCTGCATCTACCCCTACCGCGAAGGCTTTACCTCCCACCGGGGAACTTCGTGTACTTGGACAAGAACGCCAGCAAGGTGGAAAAGCGATTCTTCAGAGAAGTGTGCAACAAGTTCGACAGGTATCTCGATGTCTTCGATATCGACAGAGTACCATTGGGCGAGCTGATCCTCGAAAGCAAGGCCCGCGCTTGCAGTCAAGCTCAGGACAGTGCAGCCGTGACCAGCAAGAAGCCTGAGTAGACGACTTGAAGGAAGAGTGATAGGTTAGTAATGAAGGAGATGAGGCTTTGAAACTGACACCCCCGCAATCTGACAAGCACCTCCTGTAACATCAACATGATGTGCTCACGCAGCTTGCACTTCAATCCATAATTGATTGCCAGATCGTGCGCTGAGGGATAAACTGAGAAAGAAGTGCATCAACCGGGTGGCCTGGTACTCCAAGTGGAGTAGAGAAGCTGCAGTGGTGTGCCAACAAAGATCGCTTTCATCATGTCAGGAAATCATACCACAGCTGCCATAGCAATTTGAATAACTCGAGCCCTAGATAAGCGACTTGGCATACGTGTGCTCCTCAAAGCTCAGGGACCCTCTCCAGCTGACAAGTGATGCCTGTTTTGCCGCCCTTGAGATCGCTCCCCGGCAGGCTGTTCTCGAGACAAGACCAGTCTCGGGACAAGGCCGACCAGCCATACATGTCCATCAAACAAGAAAATCGCGTTTCATGCAAGCTGTCTGCATCAAGACATACAGGAGGTGCATGTCAGATTGTGGGGGTATCAGTTTCAAAGCCTCATCTCCTTCATTACTAACCTATCACTCTTCCTTCGAGTCGTCTACTCAGGCTTCTTGTCCTGAGCTTGACCGCCAAGTCGCTTCTCTGCGTCTTGCTAAGTCTTGCAAGCGCGGGCCTTGCTTTCGAGGATCAGCTCGCCCAATGGTGCTATTTTGATATCGAAGACATCGAGATGCCTCTTGAACTTCTTGCACACTTCCCTGAAGAATCGCTTTTCCACCTTGCTGGCGTTCTTGTCCAAGTACACGAAGTTCCCCGGTGGCCAACGGAAGATATCAGCACCTGGCAGGTTCCCATGCAAATGACCGGTCGTAGTGAAATCAGGCAGCTCCATATCCTCGTTGAGCTCCAGCCTTCTCCACATCTCACGGCGAAGATCTTGAGACTGCAACATCCTGTATATTCTCTCCATCGGCAGCGATTCATAGTCCAGAAGACCCCAGCCCTCTCGAGGCACGTTGGAAGCGTCAAACAGACGACTTATCTCCTCGTCGCTCAAGTTCACATTGCATGCCACTCGATCGAACAGGTCTTGAAGTAGACGTCTGATCGCAGAGGTACATCGGTTAGTATCCCCAAATCAAGCCCGGTGCAGTCATGTACCTTTGGGTAGGATACGAGAGTATATACTTGAAGTAGCTCTCTTCATTCTGTATTTTGTTTCGAAGCTCCAGCTCATGAGCTTGCTTTGCCTTCTTCATAAGAACATTGTTGTTGTCTTTGTAATAGCGCAGCTGAGTCTCTACCAGCTCCAGCTCCGTCTGCTTCTGCAACATCCAGAATGCAACTTCAGTTACTTTCTCGCTGTTGCTCCCCAGCATCTTCTGAGCTCGGGCAAGAAACGGGTCGGAAGGCTCTTTGGGGCTCTCAGGGTCGGCAGTAGCAGAGCTGGGTGCAGCCGTATCGCTTGAGCCTGTGGTCATCAAGCGATGCCGCAAGCTGCGAGGACGCGTCCGGGAGGCCATGGCGACTTTCAGGAGATGAGCAGCACATGCTCTTACGGGGACGCCGCTAGCTACCAGCATGGTCTTCAAGTTCTGAATCCTACCAGGAGGTCGCGCCTTGACGGTTGCAAGCGATTACAGGTGCGGTTGGTCCAGGGTAGTAGGTGGGTCCGGTACAGTATACTGTTAACAGTTAACCGTTTTGCAACGGTTTTCATCTTCCTGTCCGCGATATACACCGTAAAGTGCACTTTCTCAGTGCATCACGTTGAAAGGTTTCACGTGTGCACATCTATCGTCAGGCATTGCTCAACATGCGGTGGCAATCGCAGCTTACATGTGCTTGGCTTGTCCAAGATACAGGAAGATTGTAAGAACTCGGATAAGTTCTTGGAGACGGCGAGAAGTTCAGGGTATTGCGTCTCATCGGTGGACGAAGCTCAGCGAGATAGATGGAAGTGGATTTTGACATAGGTCTGGAATTAGGGAATCGACGAGCCTGAGGGTCAGGCATAAAGAAGGGGTTAGGTGGACATGTCCTAGCGCGCAATTCTGCATTGAGGTGGAGAGCAAGGGGTGAAGGGAAGGTGTTGGCTGTGAATAAAAGAGGTTTGGTGGAGTTGAGTGTTTGATCAGAGAGATCTTCTCGAGGTGTGGGAAGGTTGTACAGCTGTACAGAGGTTGGAGATACACGTGTGAGGAGACAATCTCAGGTGTACTGAGACACTTTGTCGGTGGTGGTTGGAATTAGTTTGGTCTGGCCAGTGAGGTGGAGGTTGATTCGATTACAAAGAGAAAATTTTCTCTTTGTTCTCAGTTCTCATTTTTTTTACTGTTGTTGCGCAACTGTGATTTACAGTACGGTCTGAACTGGAACAAAGAGTAAGTTCGGTTCATTGTTGCTATTTGAGTCGGTGATTCGATTGTTTGGAATCGTTGTTTGGAAGTTGGATTCGATTTCTTCTTCTGACCTGGAGGTACTTCGTTCGTGAAACGGGTTTGAAGTGGGATCGGATTCCTGATTACAGTCAAGTCTACAATTCGCTGGCTGAGAGAGGAATTCGAGCAGTCAGTACTATCCACAGAACTTTGCTCAAACAGAGTGCTTTGCCTATCGAGAAATGGGAATTTTCTGTTATGACTGCAGGCTACGTACCTGTACAACGCACTCCCGAGTTTCAGGAATTTTGGCAATCTTTCTCCTTATACAATCTATAATGGAGATGTTTTCGACTTCAAATCTGTGAAGACCTTCGGGTGTATGACATTCTTCAAGAATAATGTACGCAGTTCGAAGATTGAAGACCAACTTCTCAACAGTTCCGAAAAAGAAATTTTGTGGTACAAATTTAGTGGGTTTTCGTAACTGTGATTCCTATACATTAAGTTAATTTTGATGCGTCCTTTCAAATCTCGCCTAATTTGAAACCGAAAGAATTAACTGTTAAAACAGTATACCGGACCCACCTAGTCTTTATTAGTACCATTGTAGTAAACCCTTTTTAATGGTACTGTCAACATCCAATTATTCAATGCCGATACCACCCTGGACCTACCCCACCTGTAATCGCTTGCATCTACCCCTACCGTACCGTCAAGGCGCGACCTCCTGGTAGGATTCAGAACTTGAAGACCATGCTGGTAGCTAGCGGCGTCCCCGTAAGAGCATGTGCTGCTCATCTCCTGAAAGTCGCCATGGCCTCCCGGACGCGTCCTCGCAGCTTGCGGCATCGCTTGATGACCACAGGCTCAAGCGATACGGCTGCACCCAGCTCTGCTACTGCCGACCCTGAGAGCCCCAAAGAGCCTTCCGACCCGTTTCTTGCCCGAGCTCAGAAGATGCTGGGGACCCAGAGCTTTGCGCCCTATGAAGTTGCATTCTGGATGCTACAGAAGGATAGGAAGAAGCAGCTGGTAGAGCTTGAGCTGCACGATGAGAAAAAGGATTTGGCTTCTTCAATCAAGATTGAAAAACAGTTCCTTGAGAGACAGCTCCGAAACGAACTTGAGAAAGAAGAGAGCTACTTCAAGTATATACTCTCGTATCCTACCCAAAGGTACATGACTGCACCGGGCTTGATTTGGGGATACTAATCAATGTACCTCTGCGATCAGATGTCTACTTCAAGACCTGTTCCAGCAAGTAGCATGCAATGTGAACTTGAGCGACGAGGAGATAAGTCGTCTGTTTGACGCTTCCAACGTGCCTCGAGAGGGCTGGTATCGGCTGGAGAAAGAATCGCTGCCGATGGAGGGAATATACAGGATGTTGCAGTCTCAAGATCTTCGCCGTGAGATGTGGAGAAGGCTGGAGCTCAACGAGGATATGGAGCTGCCTGATTTCACTACGACTATACATCTCTACAAGAGCCTGCCGACTGATATCTTCCGTTGGCCACTGGGGAACTTCGTGTACTTGGACAAGAGCGCCAGCAAGGTGGAAAAGCGATTCTTCAGGGAAGTGTGCAAGAAGTTCAAGAGGCATCTCGATGTCTTCGATATCAAAATAGCACCATTGGGCGAGCTGATCCTCGAAAGCAAGGCCCGCGCTTGCAAGACTTAGCAAGACGCAGAGAAGCGACTTGGCGGTCAAGCTCAGGACAAGAAGCCTGAGTAGACGACTCGAAGGAAGAGTGATAGGTTAGTAATGAAGGAGATGAGGCTTTGAAACTGATACCCCCACAATCTGACAAGCACCTCCTGTAATATTCTCACACGGCTTGCATGAAGCGCGTCACTTGTCAGTCTTGCATCAGTCCTTGTAGACTTGGTCATTCTCGTTGCTGGGTCCTCGATTATCGCATTTCTCAGCTTGCCAACACATGCAGAGGAGTTTTGGTCGGGAGTCTGTCCAAGTGCTCTTTGGTTAGCTTGGGTATGTGTTCTGGATTATCCCCAAGAGTAGCCCAAGGATAGAGCTCGCTCCTCCTTGAGCTATCATAGTATCGTGATGATGTGCGCTGCGTCGAGACATTGACAAGCGAGGCCCGGCCCTAGAGAGCTTGCAGCGCTTGTGCGTGTCCCCCAAACTCAACTGATAACTTCACCTCACTGCGTGCACGACCATCTCCCGCGCCATGCCAGCGATGTCGCTGTGGCCGCCGCCGAAGGAATGAGACGCATACCCGGACCGCACCTGCGATGATGGAAGCGATGGACAGGGAGGCCTTGAGCTGACGAAAGATCCTGGACCGGATGCGTTTGCAAGTCGGATCACCTGAGACATCTTGCGAGGCCGAGAGACCATCCAGCGCTGCCGTTTCCTCGTTCGCCGAGCGATCCGCCAGCCACCACAGAAAGCGCAACGCATCGTCCTGCAAGAGTCCATCAGTGCTGGCGATGATGGGAAGAAAGGCCTGTGGCGGGACGTCAGTGCAGAGCATGTGCGTGACGATGCCCTCGGATCTTCCTGTGTGCTGCTGCTTGCAATTTATTTCGAGCCTGGTCCGGTATCCCATCATTGTCAAAAACATGTGACATGCTGAAGTCCAGGATTAACCCATGCCATCGGCCTCCAGTACCCTGCAATTGCGCAAGCTCAAATTCCCCTACGTGATGATCTTCAGGGCCATGCTGGGAAATGTTCCGCCTGGTGCCGGGAACGCCTTGCACGTGGACGCGGCATCTCACTCCGGAATCTTTGATTAGGGTACTGAGGGCGGCATCGCACTTCTCATGCGCATCCGTCCATAACGAGCTGCGGTGCCTGCAGGTTGCCATGTGTGTGGTCCCCCCAGGATGGTGGAGATGATGGTGGCATTTATCGCAGTGCGGCGGGAGGTCAACCGGCAATCCATGCAGAAACTTGTCCGCGGCAGCCACCAAGCTGATGGGCTGCTGCTCAAAGATCCCAAGGTTTGTACTTTCCATAATTGATTGCCAGATCGTGCGCTGAGGGATAAACTGAGACAGAAGTGCATCAACCGGGGGGCCTGGTACTCGAAGGGGAGTAGAGAAGCTGCAGTGGTGTGCCAACAAAGATCGCTGGCGCTCAGAAAGGTAAGCTCGAATACTGCAGAACCGAGGAAACTCCATGAGGGATTGTGCCGTGAGCTCCCGCTGGGCTGGGATGAAAAGCACACTGCCCGACGTCCCGAATAAATCAGGCGAGAGGATCCAGTTGTTGTCGCACGCATGATGAAGCTCCGCCGAGGAGTTGTACTCGGAGATTCCCTGCTCCATCAAGTGCCTGTGAGTGTCCAAGAAGGCAGCCAGCATGGGGATCACATCCGCCGCGTCCGCTTGCTGTGGTTGTCGGATTCGAAGTTCAGGTAACGAAGATGGCAATGTCTCCCGCCCATTGGACAAACTTGGCAGTGGCGACCCTCCTGCGGGGTGAACCCATCCCCTCCAGCACTGTAAGGCAACTCAGCGAGTTAGTGACGTTTGAAGTAGGCAAACTGAAGGTCAGACGGAGGGTTGCCAGGGGCGGGTTGGAGGTCGGATAAACTCTCCTGAGCCTGTTGCTGTGGCCATTGAAACACCTTCCCAAGAAGACAGAGGTTCCGGCGCGACGTCAAAGCGCTTGCACTGAGCAGCTGTCAAGGCCGGGGGGATTCCAAGCAAAATGTATTGGAGGGTGGGAACGTGGGTTGTCTTCAAAAAGCTGCTTGAGACCCAACGCAATGAAACTGTTCCAACTGGGTCAATTCAGCGTTGAGGGCATTCACCTTTGCAGTGATAAACTCTTGCTGAAAGGACTCTGTGACTGAGACCATATCGGGATACCTCCAAAGGATCATCCCCTAGCCTCGGAAGGCAAACTACTGCAAGCCCTGGTACCTACTGCAAATATGCTCTTGGATTGCCCGTTGCTGACTAGATGGAAGTTGGCACTAGGATGAGGAAAATATCTGCGAATCTCTGGGTTGGATCTCCAATCCCAGCTCTTGTTTCAACGTACGGTATCAACAAGAGACGCAGTGGCTTGTGCGGCAACAACGAGCTTCCCAACCTTAAACAACAGCCATGTTAACCGCATAGGCCGGGAAGACACAGTCTCGAAACACAGCGAAGATCTTGAGACTGCAACATCCTGTATATTCCCTCCATCGGCAGCGATTCTTTCTCCAGCCGATACCAGCCCTCTCGAGGCACGTTGGAAGCGTCAAACAGACGACTTATCTCCTCGTCGCTCAAGTTCACATTGCATGCTACTTGCTGGAACAGGTCTTGAAGTAGACATCTGATCGCAGAGGTACATTGATTAGTATCCCCAAATCAAGCCCGGTGCAGTCATGTACCTTTGGGTAGGATACGAGAGTATATACTTGAAGTAGCTCTCTTCTTTCTCAAGTTCGTTTCGGAGCTGTCTCTCAAGGAACTGTTTTTCAATCTTGATTGAAGAAGCCAAATCCTTTTTCTCATCGTGCAGCTCAGTCGTGACTGATCCATGAGCGACTTTCTGCCTGGGGATCCCTGTGACTCGGCTACATCACCGTGACTGTGACATGGGGATGGTGCGATGCTCGATGCTGATGTTCGATCGTCAGCCTAGTATCATCAGAGCGTCAGCCTGTCATGAAGTTCAGTATTCAGAATAAATTTCCCTGATTAAATTCTTCTTTCAGTGAGCCCTCCCTGACTGTCATCAATCACATGATGTATCTCAAATGACCTCCTGCTGTCTGGATTTTTTTGCGATGCCGCCAATCATGAGCATCGACGACTCGTTACAAGGGAGTCTCCTGTGACTTCGCAGCATCCGTCTCCCTCCCTGACGAGGTACAGGGAGCCACATTGATCAGGTTCTGCTGGGCATTGTTGCTCGTCCTGACATTGTTCCAGGCGTTCTGCGACGTCGTGGCAGGCCAGCGGATCGATTGGACCTGGATTTTCAGCCTGGCACAGGTTGCCGCTACTGCTGCGAAGAAGGGATGGAAAACACCAACGGTATCTTCTGCGTTGCGTTGCTGGAGTTGACTGCTATCTGTGTGTACTGGTCGGAGCTCAGTGAATCATCCCGGAGCTGCCTGGCACCGTCGGCACGTTCTTGCTTGAAAGGTAGGGTACGATAGTGCAGGTGATCTGTGCCCCAACCCCCTCGATGTCCAGACATTCGCACCCCAGAATGCTAGGCTGGTCGTCAGGTCCCCCGCCGTTTCAGACTCCGGAAGCTGGCTGTACTGCACTGCCGCTACGCATACATGCCGGAGCCACCGTAGCTCACAGTCCGGGGCTGAACATGGTCTGTAGGATCACAAGCCCCGGCCCAGTGAAGGTGGTACTCGTTGATTCCTTTTACTCAAAGTTAAGTTAAAAATCAGTACGAGGATAATCAAGCAGAGTTTCAATTCAAGTTCGAAATCGTTGTCCTCCCACCCCCTGTTTCTCCCACCCTTGTTGTGTAGACCCCCACCCCCAAGATTATATGGGTGTAGGGGAATCACCCCTCCTCATCCCCGGGACAAGTCACAGAGCCCTAGTATGGTACCAAAAACACCCCCACCCCTAGGTGATCCTTCTAATAATGCAGGTAGAAAAGAACCCCTTACCCCCCATATTATGCAGGCAAATATCCACCACCCCTCCCTACAGCTTTACTACCTGCCCTTTTGGAACTGGTTGGAACCACTGCACAATTTTGAATTTAACCCCAAAAGATGTAGGTGGTGGTGATAGAGGCGATGATGAAGATGAAGATGAAGATGAAGATGAAGATGAAGATGAAGATGAAGATGAAGATGAAGATGAAGATGAAGATGAAGATGAAGATGATAAGAGAGAAGGATGCTTCTGTTGAATGGGCAAGATGATAAGAGAGAAGGAGGCAGAGAAGACAAAGTACAACTGACCGATAGTAAGAATGGGGTTGGTAACCAGCAGAGATAACTGAGAAAAAAAGTGAAGTTGTAAACAAGTCAACGTGTGATATTCTGGGAGTAAATGATGTAGGTTGCAGTAGGAAGAAGATCTTGTACCAACTTGAATGGGCACATGGGAGAACAACGAACCTAGATAGTCTGTCAACAGTTGTTGTGGCAAATCAATCACGAGGAAGGCTCCAACATTAGACAAACACAGCGATTGCATTTCATAAAGACTCAACATGTTGCAATCGTGTCGTGACGTTCTGTCTACAGCGCCATGGTGGTTGATGTGGCCTTGAGACTGGCTGTCGAGGAGTCTCTAGCAGCATACGCCACCTCTAACGCAGTCTTTCTGGCTGAGCGGCTTGTCGCCTGTTCTTCATCGCCGGAAACCAAATATTTGCTAGCTACAGCATACCATGCAGCTGGCGAAACCCACAGAGCGTTTGCGGTGTTGTCTCCGGCGACAACAGCCAAGAACAGGTGAAACAAGAACCTTCATTCTACTAACTAACACGCACGTGCGTCTGGGGCAGATTCCTGCTGGCTGTTTGTGCATTCAAGCTGGGCAAGTTCAAAGAGGCTGAAAATGCTCTCACCGGATGTCAATTCGGCTCTGACGGGTCGCCGAATGAAGCTTACGCGCAACTGCTGCTCGGTCAGATCTGTCGGTATGAGACAAGAGCTCAGCAGCGAATCTTCGATGTGACGTTGTACTAGGGCTTCAAACCGCAACACTCAGGCTATCGATCACTTCCAAAAAGTGCGATCGCGACATTGACTGCTGCTCTTTGTTCACCCGTCGTGCCGCAGGCCCTCATGCTACAGCCAACCCTGTGGGTGGCATGGGACAACCTCTGCCAGCTAGGATACGACGAGGACCCCAGCACTCTGTTCCACGAGGAGGCGATTCTCCTGCAGTTCCAGCAGGTGAGGGTGCGACTGGAGCTGGCCAGACCTCTGAGAGAGCAGCAGATGAGGAGCAGCTTGTCGACCCCAGCTGTCAAGCCTCAATCTCAACCGTCAGGCCTCAGCCTTGAGATGCCCGAGGCCGCAACCCCGATGAGTATGAGCAATGCCAACACGAGCATCAGCGTACATCCTTCTACTCCTGGATCCAACGGTACGAGCTCCCTCCCTCCTCCAACCCTGTGCTGTTGTGCTCGCACGTTGCTTCCTGGTGGCCTTGTTGCTGGTCTTACTGTACAGGAACAGCAGGCGGCATGAGCACGGTAACGCCAATCACGCCGTGGGCGAGCTCGAATCCACAGACGGTAAGGCTGGAATGAAAGGACAAGGATGATGATGAGGAGGAAGAGGAGGAGGAGGGGCGGGTAAAGACGCTGAAACGAATTCCGAAGGGATCCACTCCTGTATCGGCTCCCACCAACACGAGTGCTCTCGCTGCCAACTTCGCGACTCCTGTACAGACTCATGTGATGTCGAGCCTCCATACCAAGTTCAGCATGACTGACGATGTGGTCAGATGGACTTCACTCCAGACTCCTCCCTTACCCCTACAGGGAGCGGCCCCCCTCCTCTCCTCTCCAAGGTGACTCAAGGGCTGGTCTTCCAACTCCGAGACTCACAGTTGACCTCCCCCCTTCCCCCTCCCCCCCTCTTTCTGCTCCTCCTTTGTGCTAGGTGGCTGCTCCTCCACGGCGACCTCGCAGCGATAGATCAGAAATCCCGCGGGCCCAGAGATCTTCGGCCGTTCGCTCCCTCGATGGTGAAAACACAGATCCCTCCCTGGTGAGTCCCTGTATGTGTCTTCCTGCTATCTTACCCTTCTTCTCCTCCTCCTTTCAGACTTTGGGGATGGGGTCGAGCTCCGTTCGGCGATCGACGAGGTCAGCAGCCATGAACTATATGCTGATCCCCGGGCCCATCGGCTTTCCTTCCATCAGCAACAACCACGAGATGATGGACGAAGACCTGCCTCGCGTCAAGAAGCAGGCGGTCAGAATCTCTCCTGATCTCCTCTCCTCTCCTCTCCTTTCCTCTCTCCTCCCCTCCTCTCCTTCTCTCTCGTCTGACTTTCTGCCGCACAGCAGATGACCTCGTTCCCCTCCACGAGAGGATCGGTATCCTGCAGCCCCTGCCCTCCTCCTTCCTCCTCATCCTGCCTGCAGGCGGGCTCCTCTCACTCTAGCAACCAGAACATCACAAGCTGTCAATCTCCCCGACCGGCTGACTCGCTCAGTGCGACCTCGCTGCAGACAACCGATGTTAGCCAACCTCAGACCCTCCTCTCTCCCCTTGCACATCCTTCACGTCCCTTGCCCTGTTCTTCCTGCGTCGCGCTCTGCTCCCGCCGCATCTTCCCCACCTTCCTTGCACTTCCTCACTGAATAGTCTACAGGCCCTGGAGCTCCTGCAGCTGCTCAAGAAGTTTGCACAGGCTTTCCGTCACCTCTCCATGTTGGGAGGGGAGGGGAGGTAGAGGGAGGCGCTGATGCCCATGGCCAGGTACCGGTCGACTGAGGCCCTCCAAGCTCTCTCCGAGCTGCCCAAGTGCCACTACAACACCGGATGGGTCCAATGCCAGGTAAGACCTTTTTGGGCTTCAGCTCCCCGGGACGTCCGAACAAGCTGAGCAAATGACTAGGTTGCCATCGCCTACTTCAACATGGCGCAGCATCTCAAGGAAAGGAGGGCGTGCTGCCTTGTTCCCCTTGCCTGACTTCCTCTTCCTTTCCTGCAGGCAGAGGAGGCCTTCCGTCGATGTAGACAGCTGGAGCCGCACAGGTTGCACGCTGAGGCCTGGAAGGAGCGGCGGGAGGTTGATTAGCTCGGCAGGCTCAAGGGGATGGAGATTTACTCCACCGTCCTCTGGTTCCTCAAGCGCGAGCACGACCTCTGTTACCTCGCACAAGAAATGGTAGCCCTCGACCGTCTTGCCCCACAGGTTTTCCTTCCCCATCCCCTTCTTATACCTCCTCCCCCCCCCCCCCTCGTTCGCGCGTTTCCCATCCTTGCTCCTGCTCTCCATCAACCAGTTCGAGCTTGCCCTGAGCTAGGTGCGAACAGACTTGGTGTGTGCTGGGGAACTGCTTCTCTCTGCAGAGAGAGTTCGAGACGGCGATCAAGTTCTTCCACCGGGCGGTGCAGGTAGACCCGTGCTTCACCTACGCCTACACGCTAGCCGGACACGAGCATGTGTCCAACGAGGACTTCGACAAGGCGACTAGCGCGTTCAGAGATGCCGTGAGGTATGACGACCGACACTACAACGCCTGGTAAGAGAGAACCTGCCCTTGCTCTTGCCTCTCTCCCTCCCTCTTGGTCTCCCTCTCCCTCTGCATCTCCTGTCTCAAAAGGGTTCAGGTACGGGTTGGGAACCATCTACCTCAAGCAAGAGAAGTTTCAGGTCTGCGCCTCTCCTTCCCCCGCTCGGGTCCAGCTGAGCCGTGAGCAGCTGGCCGAGTATCACTTCCGACGAGCGCTCGAGATCAACCCGAGGAACTCGGTGCTCCACTGCTACCTCGGCATGGCCCTGCTGTCCTCCTCTTGCTACGACGACGCGATCGCTGTTCTCAATGTGAGCTGAGATGACAATGAGCTGAGTGGAGGGTTGGGGTTGGGGGTTGATTGGAAGGGGGTGGAGGGGGGAGGGGTCTGGAGGAGGAAGAGAACAGAAACGTGGGGGAGAGGGAGTTCACCGGCGGTGAAACTTTTTTCAGCGAGCGATCAAAATGGACCCCAACAATCCCTTGGCAAAGTTAAGAAAGGTCTGAACCTCCGCCAACCAGTTCCCTCGCTCTCCTCTCCTCCCTCCTTCCAATCTGTCTCTCCCCTTCCCTTTCTCCCGCCTATCTTCTCTTTCTCCTCCATCTTCCATTCCCACTCTTCCTCTCTCCTCCTCTCACTCTTCTCGTGCCAGGCAATCGCTCTCTCGCAGCTGAATAGGAACGAGGAGGCTCTTGAAGAGCTCATCTCTCTCCAGCAAATCGCCCCAAGAGAGAGCACAGTGCTGATTCAGATGGGTACGTTCAGGAGGGAGGGTGGTGGTGGTGGTGGGGGGATGGGGGGGGTGCGATGGGCTGAATTCTCGTTGTTTAGGCAAAGTGCAGAAGAAACTTGGGAAGCTACATGACGCGCTGGCAAGTTTCAACCACGCCTCGGACCTTGACCCTAAGGTAACGAAGCAGCATCCTCCTCCTCTACTCTATCTTGTTCCTTCCTCCTCCTCTACTCTATCTTGTTCCTTCCTCCTCCTCTACTCTATCTTGTTCCTTCCTCCTCCTCTACTCTATCTTGTTCCTTCCTCCTCCTCTACTCTATTTTGTTCCTTCCTCCTCCTCTACTCTATCTTGTTCCTTCCTCCTCCTCTACTCTATCTTGTTCCTTCCTCCTCCTCTACTCTATCTTGTTCCTTCCTCCTCCTCTACTCTATCTTGTTCCTTCATCCTCCCTCCCCTCGTGTCCCTTTCTCTTCTCGTATTCTGCTGATCCGTTTCCTCCACTCTGCACTTCTTTTCCCCTTCGCTGCTCCCTCCCCTTGCTTTCACTCGTTCACCGTTTCCTTCCTTGTGTTCAATGCTCCCTACCTGATGTGCGATAGATGGGAAACATCATCAAGGGACACATCGACAAGCTGCAAATGGCAGATCTGCTGGAAGAGGACTCGATGCTGTAATGCAAGTGATGGCATGGAGACAGAGGGCACGAAAGGAGACTGGGAAAACCTCCCCCTCCCCCGCCTTCCGCGAGTTAGCATACCAATCAATCAATCAAGTGAATGAATCAAGGGTATACACGGCTCGCGATCTCTCGCTCTCCTCTCGCCTCCTCCTCTCAAACATATTCTGTCTCGTTCAGATTTCTCGCATCGCTTCTCCCAACAGGTTCCCTCCCCCTCGCTCTCCTCAATGAAATTGTGGAGGGAGGAGGAAGCAGTTCTGCCATCGTGTTTCAGAGAGTGGCCTGGCATTTCCCTCTTAAATCCCTTTCCTCCTGACCGTCTACCTGTATCAACCCTCCTCTCCCTCCCATGAAAAGTTTCTCATCGTTTCAATGATTCACTTGCTATGCTTTAGTTCCTGCACCTTCAGCTCCATCTCCTCTCCTCCGCTCGACGCCTGCAGCTCGTACACATAGATGGTGAGCTTGCTATCCTGGATGTCAAGTAGGACGAAGGAAGGGGTCACATTGCTGCCGTTCCACGTGTCACTCCAAGACAACAGGCAAGCAGCGATATCCTTCCCACCTTGTCATTCCGCTGTATGCTCCGGTGATCGATCCTGGGTTTATGTACAGCTTTTCCTCGTGGACATTGATCGAGTACTTGTGCGTGTGTCCGGTGATGAGAACATCCACATCTAGTTGTCTCTGCAGCATCGCAAGGGCCTGAGAATACGTGAGAGGAGAAAGAGCTGGAGGAGAGAGGCTGAGAAGGAGGCTGAGGAGAGAGGCTGAGGAGGAGGCTGAGGAGGAGGAAGCTGAGGCTGAGGCTGAGGCTGAGGAGGAGGCTGAGGCTGAGGAGGAGAAGGAGGAAGAGGAATGCAGAGCAGAAGGGAGTGGAAGTGGAGAGTTCATCATGACCTCCTGATCACCCCAAGGAACAACTTGATGACCATGGCACAACCCGATCTTCCAGTTGTGGATGTTCACGACCTTAGTCTCCCTGCGGGCGGGTCAGCAGCGCAAGGCGAGCTGCTTCGTCAGCTCACGGGTAGTTGCCCTCGTCGAAGTCGCCTTTGACAATCTGTGGATGATTCTTTCCATCAGTGCTATGACCATCATTTCCTCCCACACGATCGTCTCCAGGAGTGACTTTCGACCTCGCAGCTAAACTGCCTCACTGCACTAATTGCTGGGTGGTTGTCAAAACCTAAACCCCTGAAGCTATCCCTCACTCTCTCCTATCCCATCCTTTACACAGAATATGCACGAGCACATAAAAATGACAAGAAAGCTTCTCTCCCCGCCTTCCCCTTCCCCGCCTCGCACTCCTGCCTCTCTCCCCTACCGACTCGGCTTACATGGAGATCACTTGAGAGGGAGCGGAAGTACTCCTGCATCTCCTTGCTGCTGAGATTTCCTGTGCATAGAACACCTTCGATCTTCTCGGGCACGAGGAGGCGGCGAAACTTGGCGGGTATGTCTCCTGCTCGCCCTGGCACCAGCGCGTCCCCTACCGCGAGCACCAGCATAGATGCTGAGGTCACCGATGCTGCGCGGGGATGCGGTCCATGTTTGAAGGAACCGGCCCGGCCAGGCCCGACGGTTCACTCCGCCGGGACTAGGAGAGGTGTAGGGTGGGGTGTTTTGACAGAGAAAAGGAGGGGTGAATATGGGCGGGGATGGAGGTTGGATAAGGGGGTACGTAGGGATAAAATTGATGTGAACAGGAGGGGTAGTGGCGGGCAGGCCAAGTGCGAAGGGGCGCGGCGACAATGGTGAGATATCGCGATGGATGTATAAAGATCACAATCAAAGAATTCAACAAGTGAAAGACATCGTCTCCCTCTTGTGACGAATCAATAAGTAGAGGAGATTGTCTCGTTCTGATTTGCTACTCTTGGACTCTGCCTGTTGTTCCCTTCTTTGTCCACTGTCTCCGGTATCTGTTCAGCTTCTGTGATATGATGGCTGAGTTGCGACATGATTGTGGAGCTTTTCGATTATCGAAGTCGACCCTGTGACTTCCAAATTTGTTTTGTATCATCCAGTGAACAACAAATGATTGTGAGTCAATATTGTGTGTCCGCCTAGATTTTCTCAGATATGTTTCAAAATCCTTTCCGTATTTTGAAAGGTTCGTACAGGTCCGAGCCATTCTTTCGATGCTTTTGGACATGAACAGCACAGACACGTGCACCTCTGATGGTCTATACTGCTTCACGGGCATTCCCGGTGACGACGAGCTCGGGCTGGAAGATGTTGGACTGACGCAACGCAAACAGGAGCTGATGGCTATGGTGTGAGAGATGTTAACGCGGACGATGTGTGGACAAACATGTAAAGAAGGAAAGTATTCATAGATGATGATGATGACCTTTTGCCTACCAGCTATGACGTGGACACTCGTTATGGCGGTGGTTCCGGCGTTGGTAATACTTCCGTTTAATCGTACCTGACCGGCTGACGTCAAATGTTTCAGCATCTACCTGGGATGCGAGTGATGTCAAGCCATTCACCTACCATAATGTCTATTACTGAAGCCGGCCGCTTTGACTGCTTTGATATTGGACAATCTGTTGTGTGCTTGCTTGTGAAATCATGAAGCTTGACGGTTGAGGCAAATTTAGCTCCACAGCAGTGTTGGCTAATTAGTGAATCAAGTTTTTGGCAAACAAGGTACTGGTGTTGAGAATTATATACCAAGAAATTATGCCCTTTTGCGAGAAGTTCTCGATCATAGCTGCCCTCGCCCCAACGCTCAATCTGATCTGCCACTTTGGAACTGGCACGACCGTACTCGGGAGTCAGGAGTCCGAGGCTCTGGCCGGCCCACTGTCGCAGCCCGGCCCCCCGGCGCTCAGCCTGGCAGCCACGGGGTGACTCCCGGCGTCCGATGGGCCGCCCGGCAAGCCTGCCCGGCCAGCCTAGCGGCTGGCGGCGGGCTGAGGCGGCCGCCGCGGCCCGCGGCCCGCCGGGCCGGGTCGCGGGCCGCGGCTCGGCGACCCCGTACCGCCGGGCCTACGGTAGCGCGGCCTCAGCCTGCGGCCGGCGGCGCGGCGGCCCCCGTGCCACCCCGGCGGACCGGGTGGCTCAGTGGGCCCTCAGCCGGGAGCCTCGGAGTCCGACAAACTTCAAGCGGCGGAGTTTGACTTGGCCGCGGCGCCGGTGAGCCAGGCTCAGCGGCCGCGGGGCTCGAGTCACGCTTTGTATTACGTGACCTAGCCTTCTTGACAGTGTGCCAAGAAGGTGTAGTCGAAAAGCTATCTTTTCGCGAAGGAGGCAATCGACCCAAAATAATCGATTTCGGACAAGCTTCCGCTTTCCCCTTCGCCGTTTTTAATCGAAATCATGTCTTTTCAGCGACTTCTCGAGATTTTTTCGGAGTTTACCGTCGACTGGGGGGTAAAAACGCGGGGCCTCGGAACCTGAAAGGGGTCCAAGGGTGTTGACTTAATTTTGAGGCCCTCGCTATTTCTAGTGGCAGCCCATGAGCGCTGGGCCCTCAAGTTCTTTTAATACCGTTCGGAAGATTCCGATGTAGAGATGCTTTACAGCATTAATTAATCTAGATTATGATATTGAAAATCTGGACGGTTTATTCAGGATTAGTGGCATCTTAATCCTTGAGACCCCAAGATTAAGGCCCGACTGCCAAATAGAATATCCTTTCTACCCGAGTTTTGCCTGCCAACGTTTGCCTCCCAATACACTCTTCCACCCCCTTGGACTACCATACCATTCTAGGAGATCAACGGGGGTGGGGGTAGCGGGTTTGAGGCCCGAGATACATTGGAGATTGCAATGGTCGTAATTCTCGAGATCCCACCTACCCCTCCACCGTCCATGAACATGACTTATACTACCCTACCATCGATTTCTCAAGTTAATGTTGGGAAAACACCCTATCCTTAGAGTTGATTTATGACCCCACCCCACATGGTCCATTTTGTGAAATGCCTGGATGTTTTCCCCTCCTCGCCCCCATCTCTACTACCAAATACGGTCCCCCTTTCGCACGCACACACTCCCCGCCCCCCGCCCCCTCTCCTCCTCCCGTGCTTCTACTTCTTCTTCTGTATCAGTTGATCGATATCCTCTCTCCTTCTTCGAGCCTCCACCTTGGTGGTGAATCCAATTCCCTTCAAGGGCAACACATTTCACAGAAATCACCATCAAGATCGCCCTTGATCTCTTTCAGAGACAATCGGCCTTGACTTGAGAGACTGTTGTCAGTCTAGCTGAAAGAGTTCACGTCAGCTTGAGCAGAATGTCGCAAGGAGTTCAGGTCAACGCAAGGCCGAGACACGCTGATGGGTCGATCACCGTGAGAAAAGTACAACTCAACGAAAGCAACCTGCGGCCGCTGTTCGATATTCGCCAGGAAGATGCCGCCCAACTCCTGGTAAGGCATACACATATTCTTTTTGTTCCACTTCTTGACAAGTTCCTTACAGGGAGTCTCTCTCTCCAGCCTTAAAAGCGCTTGCAGGAGGCTAGGTATCAACCGCTGGCCCTACACTCGGAGTAAGGTTTTACTACGCACAAGGGATTCTAGCGACAGGTCCAGTTCAGAAGCTGATAGCGGCTCAGATCCAAGTCCTCGTGAAGAGAGGGACATGTTTGATTTCCATCAATTGCCAAGCAACCGCGAAGACCAGCATGGGGCGTTCACGCATAATCACGTATTGCATTTGAACGAAGAGACAGCTGTCAACTGCGATAGCGAAGAAACAAGTCGCGACAATCATTTTGATGACAGCGAAGACCTTTTTCAGCAGATCCTTGACCTCCCACATGGGGAGCCCAACAAGGAAAGGCCTCCGGAAGCTGAAGAAGACCTGGATTCCTTCTTCTTTCATCCGATTCCTGAAATGAATGGATCTTGGATCGAACACTTTCACCCCAACCAAGCCTGATGAATTTGATCGTTTGAGAAATATTCTTTGAGTTCAAGGAGTTGATTTCCTTCAGGAGTAATGATTTGAAACAATAGTACACACTCCGCCGTTGTTGAACCTCGCATTCAGCTCAGCGTTTAACAGCTCGTGACTACCCAACATTAATGTTTTTTATTTAAGTGAAATAAAATTTCTATGTTCTAGATAGAATCCAGAATTGACGGATGAAAACTGAACTTGAGCTCTGAGTCACTAAGGCGTGGAGTACTACCCCAGTGATCGAGTGTGCTGCAGACAAAGCCCCACTGCCAGGCTGCATTGTATGTAACCTTCCGGGCGATCGGGTCTTTTGAAGGATGCAACAATGGTGGACCTTGACATCGTGGGGAAAATGCAGCAGCTGCAAGAAGACATGCAGGAGGATCTGATCTATTGAATATAAGGGAGCGGAGGACGAGGTCGAGGACGGGGATTGAGATGGAGGAAGGTGAGGAACAAGTGGAAGATGTAAGGCACCAGATATAATCAGTGAGGGACTGAAGACATCGGATGACTCGAAGGCATGCTATCACAGTTGTGTAAGCCATCTGATTGCTTGGCTGTATGAGAACAGAGCATGTCGTTGTTTGTCACGCAGAATGCAAGAGGAATGCAAGAGGAGTTTGGAAATGGAACCGAGGAATCTGGTCTAAGCACAAACAAGATCAAAGATAGTTTGGGTTTGATTCCTCTCCACATGAGGAAATGAGTGGCTATGAAGCAAACATTGAAGCTTCCGTCATACTTGTCTTGAAGGTCTGGGGTCAGGCATGTTTTCAGAAGGCACAATCGCTCAAAGACGTATCGGAAGTTTGCTACCCAAAGTTCTGATTCCTACCTTGGCCTTCAAAACAAAACCACTGATTAAACGAAAGTGGATGGTACTTTTACTAAAAACAAAAATTTACTTCGGGAAAGGCCTTGTCGTTCACGTTGTATGCAACAATGGGCCCGGGAAGGGATATTGTACTAGGATATAAGAACCTGGATGTGATCATGGGAAGGACATCTCTTAAGTTTAGTTTGAATCCAAGATGATCAAAATGTAGGTTGCCAAGAGAAGGGCTGATCCAACGGGCGAACGAAAGGAATCGAAATCCATCCATGCGAACTTTGAAACCCATCTGTCCTGAAAGATGTCCATTTGATGCTCTTTCGTGAGATTACACGAACAGAGAAGATGATGTTACATTCATAAATTGAAAGCTTGTATGTGATATCAAAAGTGTTTGGGATGCCACCTAGTATCCGATCATCACTGTCATGTGATGACCGGGCCCGGCGATCGCCGAGCACCGGGGCCGTGAACTTGTGGTGGACTCTGATGATTCCGAAGTTCGTTGAGAGGTTGATGGCGGGACTCCGAGGGATGAGGAGAACGGTAAACGCGAAGCAACTATACCTCTACTACTAGTCAACAGCTCGTGTCACAGGCTGTGACACGTTCAAGTTTGAACTCGCCGGGGCGGCACGGCGGGCCGTTGTGAGCGACGGTCTGAGGCAGGCTTGAGTTTAGCAGCGCACAGTCCAACAAAGATGCAGCGGAAAGGAATGGTTGGGGAAACGATCACGATGAGCATGGCGATACGAAGATGAAGAGATGAAGGGATGAGTAGGGGGAGAGAAGAAGACGGAAATATCAGAGACTATACCCTATGCATATCCTGCGTTGGCTTCTGACGTTTCTCTCACTGTGCGCGACTGGTATATCGGATTTGAATGAACCATGCAGCAGTTTCGTCGGAACGCAGGAAGAGGGAGGCAGCTGGCTCACCTGTGTAGTACAGAACCCTCAGCTCTGGGGAGACTTGAGCCGGAAGAAATGGAGCGGACCAGCGAACGGTTGCAGCGAATTGAAGAAGCATCTAGGAGAACACTTCAACATGACCGTCTCGCACATCCAGTACTTTGATGAGCAATGTAACGCGTACATCGACTTGGACGACGAATACAACTCATGGAATGACTTCATGCTTCAAACGTACAAGCGATTGAGCGTTCGGCATGAGCCCATGGCTGACGGCATTGGAACTCGATCCTTGAACCTCCCTCAGAATGGATCTGAACTAACCACGATGAGCCGCACCGACTTGAAAGATCAGGATGGATCTGCCAGTGACTTTTACGAGGGGGAGTCTGTGAAGCAGGTTGTGATGCTGGCATGCTCCTGTCCTACTTGACGCTCTCTTCGTAGTTCAAAAGAGGAGATTTCTGTCTGCAAGCATTTGTGCTTGACGTCAACCCACTATGTGCGGAGGACAGGATGAACTCGGAGAAGAGTGATGGTTGCTCCTGCTGTATTCAAACAAATGTGAAAAATTAAAGCAGGAAGCTCAGAGCTTGACAACGTCAAAGCAAGAATACGAAAGGTTAGCAAATGCCGTGATCACCGAGTGTGAGAGTACCGAACCGAAGATGCTGGATCTGGGATTACGGAAAGATACGAGCGAGAATGAAGCAAGGCAGGCACTGAAGAATGCGATGAGGCTGCTCACAAAGCATAACCTGAAAGTGAGTGTTGTGGATTGAGGATTCCTTCTTGTACTGAGATGTGTTGGGAAGCAAGCCGACGTTCTCATGAACGAAACAAACAAGGACCTTGGCGATCTCAAGGCAAGTTGAGAAATGGACAGGAGCACATTTGTGGTTTCGCATAGACTGACATTTAGTAGGGAGGAATGAAGATTGTTGAGTTGAAAGGAAGAGGAGAATCGAAACTTGGAGGATGGATGAGAGAACTATCCATGGTTGCTTTTGCTGTGTTCACTCACCTCTGCGGTAAACGAAACTTTACAAGGTTACCTCAACGGTCTTCGATGTCAACACTTTCACACGACTATTCAGAAGGAAAGCTGCTCAGGTACATCTTGAGTGATGTCTTTCGACAGTCTCAGGTCGATGTCTCAGGTTGTCTTCTATGGAATCCAAACCAATGCTGTTTGTGCAGCGTATGCTTACGCTGCGTCCTTCAACAGGATAGGTGCTCGAGCATGCCAACCTGCATTTTTTTTATTGAATGTCTTGTTGCGGATTTACTTCACTAGTCGCGCTATCACGAGACATCAAAGTTCCCAGAGATTTCTACCAACGGCAGCTCGCATCTGGCAAAACACAGGCAGGTTCAATTTCTCTCAATGTGTGTCCAGTGAAGAAGCTTACAGTGCCCAACATACGGCGCCTTCACTCGTGTATGGAGAGCGAGGTGAGATGTTGTATGCAAGAGATAGCTGGCAGCTGACCATTCGATCAAGCTACCGCGCTGGGCTTGTGGAAGGCCTTCGCGTCATCACGCCCCCGGTTTCCTCCTTCATGTTCGATCCCTCTCCGTGCTCGCAAACCACGACGGAGCTGGACGTTGAGAAGAGAAAGCAATATGAAGATATTGTGAACGAGGAAAGAAAGTTGGGTGAAAGCAGTCAAGAAGATTTAGGAAAAGAGCAGCAAGAAAGACAAATGCAGCGAATGAATGCGATCATCCTGCACGCAAAGAACGTCGGGGAAGAGGTGCTCAAGGAGAATGTAAGTCTTGATCAAGCTTCAACAATTTTTTTCTCTTCTGAATTATCAATTCAAGTTCCTGACGATGCATTGGCTGTTTCAGAACATCAAGTTGTATAAGGGCCGAAAATATCATCTGTGAGTGAACCGCAAGAAAGAATCCTTGCTGCTCACGGTCCCAGCTGACGTTTGGCTGAGCAATAGGTGGGGAGTCGAGAAGAATCTGCACGCCTATCGCAGGGGGAAGCGAGGTGAAATCAGGCGGCGACTAGTGTCGCAGTCAAGCTCTCAGTGACTTGACTGACCGTCACTTCAGATTCACACATGGTCGACATTCTCCGTCGGGGCATCACTACCAAGAGGTGATCCGATCATCGGGATGCGGCGGCCCACGGCCGTTTTGGTTCCCTAAACTCTGCGAGCTAATCGATTAAAGTCTCGGGAGTTAACTATAATTTACTCAATGGTAGCTGGGAGCCTCGACCCATCACTGCGGTACCACCCCTACTGGACCACCCCCTATTTCCCAACTTGTCGGCTTCAAGTTCCTTCTCTACCCCCTTAGGTCCCTTGGTCTCTAATTGTCTCATCGAGTTGTAAGTCACGGGCTCTTTCCTTGGTCTTGCACTACCCCACACCCAGCCTCCCATAATCTTCTCGCGTACCGAATTCCACTTTGCGACCCCCTGTTGCGTAAACTTGGTTGCAGAAACATGCGCCTTCCCTCTCTCTCCCTCCCTCTCCCTCTCTCTCCCCTTCTCTCTCCCTCTCTCTCCCCTCTCTCCCCACCCTTTCTCCCTCTCCCCCCACCCTTTCTCTCTCTGCCCCCCCCCCGCTCTCTCCCCGCTCTTTCCCCTCTCCCCCCTCTCCCCCTCCCTCCTATATTCCAATCAAGCTACATCTTTACAGCTTTCTTCCATGCCCTCCCTCTGTTATCATTATGTATCGTCTAATCATTCTCCTCCTTCCTGGCAACTGATCGTATACAGAATGGTCCTATTTCTTGGGCTAGCCACAAAGAATGTTCCTATCTCTACCAGACTTCATTCATCTTGAATGAACCAGACTCTGACACTGACCACAGTGCTGTCCGCCAGGATGGCACAACAAACACCACGCTGGAAGGTCTTGAAGCGATATGGAGCAGGATTCGCGCTCGGTCCTGCTCAGCAGGAGGTAGACGATGATTACCTTCGATTTGTGTCAGAGACGGTAAGATCCTCACAAGAGGACAATTGCTAACAATTTGCTATCTTTGGTCGGATTGAGTTCTTTGCCAGCTACTTGCAGACATAAGGCGTTTGAGCATAAGGGCGCAACCTCAAATTTCGTTGAGACTGGAGTCAAAAAACGTTGGGGATGAAGGAGTCATATGCGTCCTGAATGCCCTTCACAAGGTTGAAACCAGAAAGATTGAGGAGGGAAGGGGTTAGAGCAGTGGGATGATGGGATAGATGGGAAAGCAAGGGATGAGGAGAGCGTAAAAGAACCAAGGGATGAGGAGAAGCACACAACTGGAGGAAAGAAACGAGAGGAAGAAGAGGGTGGGGGAGAAGAAAAGGGGGGAACAGAGAGCTGAAAAAGAGATGAAACGGAGACTCAACTGCTTTTTCAGGTTGTACAAGCAAGAGTTGCTGTAGTTGTAAACCTCTACCTCTTTAAGAACAACCTTACCGATGCTGTTATGCCTCACGTGCCTCTTTTCCTTCCTTCTCTTCCTCTTGCTTACGTTTGCCCCGCTGTAGATCAGAAGCTTCGTCATTAGCTGCAAGGGATCAGTCCGCGAGCTGCACCTCTCTCACAACCGGATCCATCGGGAAGGCTTCGAGATGCTTTTCCAGCAATCTGATGAGGTTCTGTATGCTCCTCCTGCCCCCGCTCCTACTCGTGTTCGTGCTCCCGCTTCTAACGCCGCTGCTACTGTTGCTGCTCCCGGCATTGCTCCTGGCATTGCTCCTGGCATTGCTCCTGGCATTGCTCCTGCTTCTTTACGCTTCGACTATCCTCTGCTTCCTTCTTTCATGCTCATCATCCATCAATCTTATGATTCAGCAGCACTTGCCCCACCTCTACCCTGTCAAGACCAAGGACGGTTTCCACCCCCTCTTTGTCCGCCTCGAGCAGAATCCGATCGACCTACGAGCCCTCCATCTCTCTGCGGACAAGTTTCTGACGCAGACAAGAGAAGTCTTGCTACAAGGGAGTCGCGGTTTCTCCTACCAGTGCCCTCCCTTTCATGTTCCATTCTATCTCAACTCTCCTGCCTCCACTATCGCCAAATCTGCCCCTGTCCCTGCCACTCTCTCTGCTCCTGTTTCTAAAGCTGTTTCACCTGCTCCTGCTGCTGCTGCTGCTGCTGCTGCTGCTGCTGCTGCTGCTCCTGCTCCTGTTCGTGCTGCTGCTCCTACTGCACCTGTACCTGCACCTACTCCTGCTCGAACCCTTGCTCCTGATCCTACTTCGTCTACTCTTCCTCAACCTCCTTTTTCCTCTGCTGCTGCTCCTTCAGGCAACGATCATGACCCTCAGACGTATGTACATGATTCCTATGGTGCCATGCAACATGATCATCTCAGATTTCAATATCCTCCCGACTTTCTACAAACTCATCATCGTCAGGATTTTCAAAATAATCACGATCTTCAACTTAATCAGGATCTTCAACATGGTCAACACTATCAATACTCTCAGGACCTTCCACAATATTCTCAGGATTTTTATCAATTTCATCAGGATCTTCAACATGGTCAACACTATCAATACTCTCAGGACCTCATCTTAGTCTACCATGTCAATATCTTCAATATCCTGGGTCACTTGGAAGTTCGCTGTCTGCTCAATTTGCAACCTTGCTCGTTCTGATTCCTATGCACCCTTCTCTGCTTCAAACTGCGTACAATCATGCAAACAGACAGCAATTGGACAGGGACAGCCACCATACAGAGCCAAAAATGCACACAAGTTCACGTCCAGTGGTTGTTAGCAGGAAAGAGAGAATGGAGGACGAGGCACGGGTCGTGTTAGTAAAACAGAAGGGCGTGAGGGAGGAAGAGGAGAGGGAAGGAAAGGGACAAGATTGCGAAATGGAGCAAAGAAAAGATGAAGGGATGGACCCATGGCTAAGAAATGAAGTGGAAGCTAGGAAAGCAGAGGAAGGCCCTGAGAAGGCCAAAGAAATTCATCACGACAACATCTTGGTCATTAGCCAGAAGCGCATACCGGACACGGATACCTTGACGTCTCAACAACTGGTATGCTGCACGATGCTGCTGCTGCTGCTGCTGCTGCTGATCATGATCATGATGACAACCACGACCATGGTAGTGGTGATGATGATGACGATAATGACAATGTTGATGAGGATGGTGATTGCAATCATGACAGCCGCTTTCGAGCCATCATACGTCATTTGACCATCATACCCCAGTTGACTACGAAGATGTAAGGGTTTGATGTCTTTTCTTGTTTGCTCGAAGCCGTTGTTGCTATCCGATGACTTTGTGAGGGAAGGGAACTGAAGTTGAATCAAACGGATACTTCATCTCTGAGAGACACCAACACAAGGTATTCAGCCTCCCACTTGCAACCTCTGACCTGATGCAGTACTTGCTCAACATCGCATTTGTTGGTGAGGGATTTCATGGAATGCAGAAAAACACCAAAACAACAGTTCAGTCAACCCTGGAAGATGTCCTGTGAGAAAGACCAGCTCTTCTTCTTTCTCTCCCTCAGCTCTTCCAACACCTGCTATGCTCTCTTCTACCCGCGCTTGTCGGACAAGCTGATGTAAGTGACTGGCGTGCAGGATGGCGATGGGGGCAGCGTTGAAGCAGAATCTCGAGGACTGGATTGGTTTCGGGACCTCCAGCAGGACCGACAAGGGAGTTCACGCCGCTCAGTTGCTGGTCAGTAAACATCCGGAGGGGCCCGTTGCTGGGAGCAGCGCAGCTCTTTTCCACTGGGAACTTGCTCGTGATGTCACATGGCATCCGCTGCGTTCTTGCTGATCGGTCTTGATTGGTTTGTTGTTTTCACAGTGTTGTTTTTCCTGCAGGTCGTCGTAACTATGAAGAGTATCTACCCAAATGGTCTCCGTCTCTTTCTTGAAGAATTAAACAGGTCAGTGAAGAGGGGAAAGGAGGGTTGGGGGAGGAGCAGTAAGGAAGAGTGGAAAGGAGGGGAGATGAGGGATGCGGAGGAGAGATTGGAGACTATACGACGGACCAGCAAAGTACAAAGGATAGGAAAGTGACCTGGGAAGGAAAGGGAGGGAAGGGCATTGTAGAAGGAGAAGAGTGGAGAGGAGAGGAGAGGAGAGGAGTGGAGAGGAGAGGGGACGAGACGAGACGAGACGAGACGAGACGAGACGAGACTGTGACAGTTCGAAGAACTGCTCACTTCTTATTCTTGCTTTCAGGCGTTTGAAGAATGGACAGCATCTAATTCGTGTCATAGACATCTTGGCTGTTCGGCCTGAGAGCAAGCTAAACGGAGACCTTGAAAATCGAGCCATACATTTTCCATGTTTTGTCGACAGGTGGAATGATGTCTGCATGACACTGATCCTCTTTCATGTCGTCTCACATCCTGTATCCACATGCTTCTGCTGCTGGGCCTACTTGCTCTCTTCCTCCCTTTTTCATAAAATTCTCCCATCTCTTCTTTCTGCACTTCTTGTATCTCCCATTCGTTTTCCATTCCACTTCTCCCGTTCCTTGTTCACCGTTGCGCTGCATAACCTCGTGCTTCTGCCATGACCATGATGGAACAGCCGCGTGTATCGTTACATCATCCCCTCGTTTGCCCTTGCGCATCAAGAAAAGGAGCAAGCAAGAAACGAGAACAAGATGAAATGGGAGATGGAAAGATTCCGTCTGTCATCCGAGCAGCAGCACCGAGCTGAGAGTGTACGTGATGTCAAGTTTGATCATACTCGTCTTTTCCGTTTGTGTCACTCACGCTCTCGTCTCTCTTGTTGTATTGTCTGCTTCCCCCGATTATGTTACATGTCATTCTTTGCTTCCACCTTCCGCTCATTGTCTGGCACTTGCATGATTTTCTGCGATCTCTGAACCTCTTGACCCTCAGATTCTCTCTGTTTTCAGGTACTGCAGGCATTTCAGCGCACAGCTGACTTTGAAGCATTCACGGACATCAAAGACTGCAAGGTTCAGACCTTTCCGTTGGATGGATCCTCAGCCAATTTGTTTGTTCACCAGGCCAAAATGATGAGAGAAGTAAGATCCTTTGTGATCAAGACTCTGGAGATCTACAAAAAGATTCAGTTTGCCGTGATAGAGATTGAGGTCAAGTGACGTTTGTCCGATCATCGTTGAGGCTTCAATCCCACTCATTGGTTTCTTCCTTAGGGAACTGCTTTCCTTCACCATCAGATCCGCAACATGGTTGGTCTAGCCATTCTCGTCATTCAAGCAGGAACTCCCTTTTTATTATCACCACCAACTCTTCGTTCTCCTCCTCGCCCTCCTCCTCATATGAATCTTCTCCTCCTTCTACCTCTTCCTCCTTCTGCCCTCCTGCCTGCTTTTTTTCCTCCTCTACATCTCCTCCTGATCTTGTAGTTGCGCTCCCGTGCACTTGTTCCGTCTCTGCTCTTCTCCTCGATTTGTATTTGACGAGCAGCAGATCTTTCGATTTCAGAGAGTGTCGACCGCATTCTGAACAAGCTTCCAATAGCTGGCCATGTAACAACAAAATTCCTCCTCCCATCCATCTGAATTTTCTCACCATGCTTTTGCCCCCTCGTCCTCATCCTCACATTCTTACAGGAGAAAGTCTCCAACTTTCGCATTGCACCTGCCGAGGGTCTTTTCCTCAAACGTCAAAACTACAAGTGAGATCACCTGAATATGCCTTCTATCTCAACCCCTCCATGTCCTCCTCTCCTCCTTTCAATCCCTCCATCATCTGTTATCCCTCCTTGTGTCTCCTCCACTCCGCCGCTCTGCCTCCCTACCGCTCTGCCTTTCCTTCTCTTCTTCTTTTCGTTTCTTTTGTTCTTCTTGATCCTTGACATGCGTTAGCAGACACAAGCTAATCAATGATTTCCTCAACAAGTGTTCAGAGCAGGTGCCGATAATTTTATCCTGATATCTTCAATCATTTTTTATCCCTTTCTTCTCCAAGCTAATCAAAATGACTCGTTCATTCCATACACTCTCCATCGTATTCTTTTTTATTTCTCCGCTCTGACGATCGTTCTTTCATCTCCTCACTGTTTCCTCTTCCCTCGTCTCTGAGCTGTTCCCGTCAGAACCTTCAGTTTGAGGAGCAACACATCGTCCCTCACGTTTTCAGGCACTCCCTCGATCCCTTCATGAACTTCTTTCAAGGTCTCGACCTCTTTCCTACCCTTCTCTTGCCCTTGCTCTTGCTCTTGCTCTTGCTCTTGCTCTTGCTCTTGCTCTTGCTCTTGCTCTTGCTCTTGCTCTTGCTCTTGCTCTTGCTCTTGCTCTTGCTCTTCCTTCTCCTCTTCCTCAACCATTTCCCAGCCCAACCATTGGCTTCACATTTCTCATGATCTTGATTCCTCCCCAACGTGATTGCATGGTAGACACGCTCAACGATGCGGATGTTATCAACCGACTGAGAAGGAGATGCTGAACTTGCGGCAAACAAGGAGAATTGAATCTTTAAAGCTGGAGCATCGCTGGAGGAGCATGAAAAACAATTGCTGCGATGGTCTAGTCTGACATGTTGTTACTCGATATCAACACATTGTGAACTCTCATCCGAGGCCCTCCCAAACTTGCTTGCCACTCATCCAGTGTGAGAGTCTCCGAGTGTTGTTGCGAGTCAATAGCTCTCAGGCTCTGCTCTGCTCTGCTCTGCTCTGCTCTGCTCTGCTCTGCTCTGCTCTGCTCTGCTCTGCTCTGCTCTGCTCTGCTCTGCTCTGCTCTGCTCTGCCGTGTGAGTCTGTCAAGTCACGTAGCCCAGTACTTGCAACAGTGACAGGCGGCCTTAGTCTGTGAGAGGTCTGAATTATCCGGCGATCCTTACGATTTAAAAACACGAACCATGCAAGTAAAATTGCGCCGTACAAATGAAAGTCAAATGTCGTAGCACAGAAATATAAACCTCCTACAGCTCTTGTACCACTCCCATATTAAAATGTTTTAAAGACACAATTTCTAAAACCTTATAATGTTTTAAAGCCAGAATTTCTAAAAACTCTTGACAGCCATCAATCACATCCCTGACCCCGACCCCCGCCGTCCACCCGTTAAATCACCCCGTCCTATTCCCACTACCCTTCACAATCAAAGAGTACCCCCAATTTTCGTATGAATTTAGAAGATTTTTACACCGGTTACATTACTACCCCTACCCACCATATTTACAAGAACCCGGTTCTCTTCAGCAACTCAAAGACATAGCTTTGTCCGCGGCATGGCTGGAGCTGGAGGGAAAGTCGTGGTGGGGTAGCGAAGATGCAGATGCAGCGAAGGAAGCGATCGGTTGTTCTCTCCATCCTCCTTCTACTAGCTCATCTCGAGCCGTGTTGTGCTGTCCTTGACTCTGCACATGGTACACGTACTTCTCAGCCAAACAAGCCCACGCCAATTTTTCGGTTCACCGAGTTCGAAGGCAGGGCCGGCGCGCACGTCAAGACAGGCTATCAAGTCTCTGTGCGAGATGCGAGCAGGATTAACCTTGATGCTCCAGTCAACGTGATTCAAACTTACACAGCTCTGCAGTCGAGTGCAGGTAGCTCACCTTCCATATTTGCTCACAGTAACTTAGTGTGTCTGCTTCAGGTTCAAACCTTGGTCTTAACTTGTCTGTTACTGGCAACATTCTCTCTCTAGCCTTTGTAGGAAATGCCATGTTCAGCAGCAACGCAGCAGCTGGCAGAATCTTCTATCAGCCGACGAACAGCATACAAACGTACAGCGTTTCGGCAGACGCCACCCCTACGACTGCTGCATCCTCGGACATGGTCTGTTACTCTCTCGCCAACACGCTCAAGTGCTACATCCTTGGATACACCGTGACAGGGATGAGCTGGAACGATGTTGCGTTGTACAGCCCCTGCTCCAAGGTTCAGTGCACAGCAGGGAATCCCATGTCCCTGTGGAGGTCAGTGATAGCATACAGCGGTACCACGCCGACGGGACGGCGCTATGTCCAGGTATCAGCAGCTAAGAGCTCCCAAGGGTCGTACTCCATCTCTTGTCTCGGAGGTTGTGGATATTCCACAGACGTCATGACAAGCTCGGACCCTACCTTCGGGACGTCTGTCGCCCTCTCTGAGAACTTTCTTGCTATCGGTTGCCCCGGGAACAACTACGTGCGAGTGCTGAAAGCGAGTGGAACTCTTGTTCCTACAGATCCTTACAGCTCGTTCACGCTCTGGACCTTGTTCAACACTTTTGTTGGCAGTGCAAATCAAAACTTTGGTCAACAGTTGTCAATCAGCAGCACTTTCCTCATTGTGGGAGCTCCCGGGACCTTCTTCTCAAAAGGTGCTATTACAGTGTACAGAGTGGATGGATCGACAAACGTTTCGAAATTCTGCGAGATAACAGACTCACACGTCGGCAGTCTTTTCGGGTTCTCAATCGCACAAACTTCTTCGAGCAATGGCCTGACATTTGCTGTCATCGGCGCGCCAGGGTCGAATCTCGCACATGTGGTTGCTCTCAGGCAATTTCCCTACACGTGCGAAGTAAGGAATACTTTGTCTCCTGACAGCTCTGACTTCCTGGTGAATGATCAATTCGGCTATTCAGTTGCCATCAACAGTCAGTCGATTTATGTTGGATCGCCATACTACGCACGGTATTTCAACCCAGGCATCTCAGGACTCCTTTACATCTTCTCGTATTGCAATCCAGGGAGCGCTATCCCTCCTTTCTATCGCGATTGCTCTGCCTGCCCTGTCGGCCAGACATCCAACGGCGGAGCCTCGTCCTGCATCACATGTACACTTCCCCTCCCTCAGCATGCGACCTACGGTGCTGGCTGCACCACCATCTGCGATCCTGGATACTTTGGATCCAGTTGCTTGCCTTGTTCGCAGTACGCTCCTGCCCAAGGCATGACCAACCCCCTGAAGTCCTCGTGGGTTGACAATCAGCCTACGTGCACTTGGCAATGCAACGCAGGTTATCAGCGAGTCAATGACGACGGTTGCGCGCAGTGCCAGAACGATATTCAATTCAACCAGTTGTCAAACGTGGAGTGGATACCCGGAACCTGCTCATGGCGGTGCAAGGCCACCTACTTCAGTGTCAATCAGACTCAAAACTTCCTTGACTGCAAATTGTGTTCGCAGTACAAGGCTGCTCTAGGTCAGCCACCCCCTGCCAATGCGGAATGGCTGGACCGCTTCAACGAATGCAAGTATGTTCCGCTCCCTGGATACTCATGTCAGTCAGGAACATGCACAGCATGTTCGAATTCGAAGCCGCAGCATTCTCACTGGCTCACTGTGAATGATCGCTACTCCTCGCCGAGCCAGTCAGTCACGATCACTTCTCTTTGTGAATACGCTTGCGACCAAACCTTCTTTATCGCTCCGACTTCGCCGCCCACCTGCGTACCATGTGACGTCTACATGAGCAATTTCAGCGATGCGACTTTGCCCGCCCATGGCCTCTGGCAGGCTTCTACTGCCGTGTGCACCAGTGACTCGTGGATGTGCACGGCAGGTTACAGCCGCAGCAACACAAGCCGCTACTGCTGTCCGAACGCCGTCAACCATTCCGTAGTGAACCAGAGCTATTCTCCCTGCGGCGTCTCTTGCGAGTATGGGTATCGATGGAGCAACGAGCTGGCTTCATGTCTCCAGTGCAATACCAACATGACGGAGGGAACATTCAGATGGTTGTTGGATTGCGACTTCGAATGCTTCTGCAATGATACTGTTTGCTATCATGGCAAAGAGACTCTCGGTGCATGTTACACCTGCCAGGAGTATTCACAAAAGGTCGGATTGGTTCCTCCACTGTACGGGGAGTATCCGGTGTATTCCAATACTTGTCGCGTTGATGATTGGCAGTGCAAGAATGACACTTTCAGCAAGTCGCTGGTGGCTACGCCTCCTGGATGCTGCCTGAAGTCGACTCCCAACGCCGTAGCGAATCTTTCCAGCCCAGCCACGTGTAACTTGGATTGTGAGCCCGGGTACAGGTGGGATCCTACCAGGAAGCAATGCTTCTACTGTGGGATTCCCTTCCCAAGATCTGCACACATGCTCTGGTCGTCGTTGACCTGCTCCTGGCTGTGTGAGCTCGGATATATGAAAGTTGACGGATCTGCAGGTCGATTTCAATGTGTCAATTGTCCGACCCATGCAGTTTCCAATTCCTGGCAGCTACCTAGCCTCGCGTATTGGGTCAACTCAACCACTCTGGAGCAGCAAGGTGCCATCTGCTCGACCAATGCCTGGCAGTGTGCCGATGGCTACCTCAAGAATGCCCCGGCGAAACTTTGCTGTCAGAACTTGAGTCTGCCCTACTCCACGGGCGTTGGAGGCCTCAGTACAACGAGTTGTGACTGGACCTGCAACGCCGGGTTGTTTCCTCCGCGTCTTGCCGACATCAACCCTGCGTGCAACCTGTGCGGCTGCACTTGCGAGCAGTATCTTCAGTCATATGGCTTCACCTCCCCCTGTCCCATCCAGTACAGCTTCATCGGAGGCTGGTGCGATGGGATGCAAATCACCCCCAGCCCCGCCGCCTGCTCCGTGTCAGTCCAGGCCTCTTTCGTGCTCACTGGAATCAGCCTCGAGACTTTCTACCTTCCCTCGACTGTTTCGGCGGTTCTCAACGCCCTGGGAGGTGACTGACCGCGTTTGACACGTCTACATGTGCTGATGTCACTCGCCAGGCTTGTCGGGGATCTCCTCCGTGCCCAGCCTCACCTACTCCTCCTCCATCAGCACCCGACGGGCAGCGGCTGACACTGTGTACATCGGGGTCACCTACCTCAATGTGAATCCAGCTGTTGGCCAGCAGTACACCCTGAGGGTAAACACTGACGGAAGTCGAGCTGTCCGCAGCGCCCTCTTCTCCAAGGGTTATGATGTGCAGGTACGGGATGAGACGAGGGGAGGAAGGGGAGCGCGGAGGAGGAAGGAAAGAGTGAGGGAGAGGAGGGAGAGGAGGAGAGGAGGGAGAGGTGGAGAGAGGAGGAGAGGAGGGAGAGGTGGAGAGAGGAGGACGCTGACAGAGGAAACAGGTTGTGATGAAGGGAGATTCGTCGGTGTTTGTCTCAGGCGCCTCAATCTCCTGCAGGTTGGATCGACGTTGGTGTTTTTCTCATGTCTCATCGAATGATACAGAGCTGGGTACATCTACAATCAAGCGACAGGGAAATGCTGCAGATTTACGTTATTTCTAGACCCTTCAAATGTCTGCATCAAAGATCAAAGCAAACTAGGTTGACACGTGCTCTTGGTCAGATTGCATCGGAAAGATATATCTGGTCAGCCAACGGCTGCGATTGGAGTTGTGCTCCGAAATACTATGTATGGAGGGGATGAGGTGTGCTCGTGAACTGACGTGATGGTATTAGGGACAGAACTGCCTGACGTAACAAGTCGAACATAACATCGCTGTGTTTGTTGAACGAATGTGCAGATGTCAGGAGTACAAGAGTACAACGTACAAGCCAAGCTTCTCGGTGTGGGACAACAACAGCCCAACGTAAATCCCCCACATCTCTCCTCGTTCAACGTTGTTCCTCCCTCACTTGACCTGCCAGGTGTCAATGGAAATGTATGGACGGCTACGTGCTGTCCCCCAGCGGCACATCGTGTCTCTCTCTTGCCAACGTGACAAGGACGTGCGCGTCGCTCACCCGCTGCGCGAGCTGCACGACCAATGCAGCGTGCGTTTGGTGCTCAAACCAGTGCGTGCCGGGGGAGGTGAAGGAAGGAGCGAAACCTCGTGGTCGATGCTTGACTAGCCGACGAGCAGGCGAACTCTGCAGGGAATGGCTGCCCCTACGACGGAGTGACGCTCTCTTCGAACTGTACATGCGACAAGAAGACTTGTCCATATGAGGTCATGGCCCTGCTGCTCCTGTTGCTGCTCCTGCTGCTGCTCCTGTTGCTTCTCCTGCTGCTGCTGCTACTGCTGCTGCTGCTGCTGCTCATCTTCCTGCTCCTCCTCTTTCTCATACTCGCCACCTCTTCCTCCTCATGCTCCTGCCATGCGCAGCAAATGTCATCAATTTCTCTCTTCTCGTTACCCTGACTCTCTCGGCAGTGCCAGTACTCTTCTTGCAGCTCTTGCGTTCAAGACAACTTCTGCGGCTGGTGCTCGTCTGCCAGCAAGTGAGTTTCACTGTGGCTCCTGCTCCTCGCCCTCATCCTTGTTCTCTATGGGACCAGGTGCATGCCAGGTGACTACTTCGCTCCGAGCGCCGGCATGGGAGCTTGTCCACTCGGGTGGAACGTCGGCCCATATGCTACATGCCAGCAGAGCAACAACATATGGCTGGTCGGCATAATCTGCGCATCTGTAAGGAATTCTTCTTTCTCTCCCCCCCCTCCCCGCTCCTCCGCCCCCTCGTTCTTCTCCACCACCACCTCCTCTCCTCCTCCTCTCCTCCACCACCTCCTCTCTTTCTCCTCCATTTCCTGCGGTGACTGGCTCGACAGACGAGCACAGCGCTCATCGTGATCTTGTGCATTCACTTCATCCTCCGCATCCGAGCCGCCGCCAACCGGCGGCCCCGCACTATGATCTTCCAGTACGGCGATCAGTCGGGAGGTGTGACGGTGAGTTTTCCCTATCAAAGAGGAAAGGAAGAAGCAGCTGACCCTGTTCATCGCAGGCGCGGGAGCAAGTTCAACGCTTCCTTGACACCTTCCCTACGTTCAAGTTCGATGTGAGGAGCTGCTGACTCGCTGATCATGGTGACATGCTCATGACTTGCTCCTCGCAGGAGAACAAGCTTCCCCCGTCTTTCTCAGCTTCACGATCATCCGAGGCAGAAGGTCAGACAGAAGGTCAGACAGACGGCCAGGACGAGGAGGACAACCGACCGACATGCTCGATATGCCTTGGCAACTTCTTCACCGGAGAAGACTGTCGCATGCTGCCTTGCCTACACGTCTTTCACAAGAACTGCATCGACCAGTGGCTCTCGATGAGGTGAGCGAAGGAACTGAATTGCTCGATTGATTGTTCGGCTCACAGTCAAGAATGCCCCTTGTGCAAACGCTCCGTCATCAGCACAGACGAAGACAACACAACCGTACCACATGCTGTTGCCTGCTCGCTGCTGCTGACGTCTCTTCAGGCCGCTCGAGCCAACGCCTTTCTTGTTCTCCAGCAGATGCACTCAAGAGGACCTGAGGGAGAACAGCAGCGACCGACGTCGTCGTCCTCGGCCGCCATGCGAGCGGAGGAAGGGAACGTGCAGGGAGTGGTGGAGTGCAGGTGAGCTGGATGGTGCAAGAAGGAGAGGGGATGAAGAAACTGCAGGTATCAAGACGACAGCGACGACGAATCAATCGATGTCGAAGTTTGAGCAAGAGGGGGTTGATCGAGATTTGTCAAGTGTTGTACAGTATGTGTTTTTCATACCCCCCTCCTCCTTGCATTCATCACTCGATATCTCCACGTCCTCCATTTACCCTCCACTCTTTCCTCCTATCTCCTCTCCCGAAAGCATGTCGATTCCCTTCCTCGACCTTCCAACCCTCTCCTCAACTTCCGTTCACTGCCTGCTGCTTCGGCTTCGGCAGAGTGTGCAGGCCCGGCCCTTGTCCGTTGAAGAACTTCCCCTTCCATTCCCTCCCTGTGTCATCAACGAAAGTGCCTTGTCCGTGCATCCTGGTTGTATCGCTATCACCGCCTTTGCCAGCACCTCCAATCATCAACAACAACAGCTCAGAAAGATTACATAAACATCGAACATCGCCCGCACTTCTAACTTTCACCCACAAACTTCGCATCGTCATCGTCATCGTCATCGAGACATGATTCAAGCTTTTCTCAGCTATCAAACCTGTTCTTCTCCCAAGCTCCCATGTAGTATGCTCCTGTCGACCACTGATACTTCCCCTGACCATGGAACTCGTTGTCTACCCAGTCCCCCTGCAATGAAATCTCAGCAAAAGAGTAGCGAGGCAGGAGATGTAAGGAAGAGCACAAGACAAGACAAGAGAAGACAACAACATTACAGCGAAGAGAAGACAACAACATTACAGCGAAGAGAAGACAACAACATTACAGCGAAGAGAAGACAACAACATTACAGCGAAGAGAAGACAACAACATTACAGCAAGCAACTTACATCATACTTGCTTCCATCCATGAACTTGAACACCCCTGCACATACATTCCTCAACACCGCTATCGACTTCCCTCGGTTCTCACCGTGGCCATGCATCTTGTCTGCAACCCATTCTCCCTCGTAGATGTTGCCATCAAGCTTGTATATGCCAACTCCGTTCCTCACCATCACCTTTGTTGGCTCCGCTTCACCTTCTGTTTGCTCGTCCTTCATGATATACGATCCCTCTTTCAAATCTCAATCAGGTTGATCGAGTATTCATGATAGCAGCGAGGATCAAAATGCAGAACCGAATTTTTCATCATATGAGATATGAGAGTTATCAATCACTCTAGTCTCTAGATCAACTCATCTAGTATCTTCTACCCTCCGCAGAGTCCACCTCCCTGTTTCCCCTTATACACCAGTCTGCTTCCTTTGACATGTCAGACATATTATTTGCATAATGGTCTTGATAGCATCATGTTCACATATTACAAATAATCATAATTGTTTCAGCTCACCGTATCTTGCACCATTGTCGAACAGGAAGGCGCCATACTTTGCCGCCTCCGCTTCCTCCGCCATGTGCTCGATGTTCTTTCCTTTCGATGTTTCCTCAACCGTTGGGTTCTGTGCGGGGATGTGGGGCCCAGTCATACCGGGCCGGCCCGGACTCGGAGGCTCGGCGGCGGCGGCGGCGGGGCCCGGCGCAGGCCCAGCCACAGTGTCACTGAACTTTGAGTAAAAGTGAAACTGACCTGACTTGTTTACTCAAAGTTAAGTTAAAAGTCAGTACGAGGACACTTAAATTGAGTAAAAGTGACGGTGACTGAGTATGATACAAAAATGGAGCAGAGGATCCCGGTACTAGGGAGCTAGAAGACTACTCAAAGTTAAGTTAAAAAGACTACCACTACTGACTGAGGATCGGGGGGGGTACGCGGACTCACAAAAGCTGCTGGAAGTTGACAGGAGGGGTGGGTCCGATGGCTACATGGATGGGGTTGCAGTGTCCGACGATAGTAGAGGTAGGGGTTATCTCCTAAGTTGAAATGGAAGGCTGGGAGTATGAGGGTGGGGTACTGAGTTACCGTCACAGCCTCTCTCACCGTACAGGGCCATCTTAATGCTGGGTGGTTTGTGGGAAATGCAGGGGTACTATAGTTAATATTCATTCCCCACACCCTACCCACCCTACCCTAACGTCCGTATCCTTTCCCATCACGGACCCTTGAGTTCAAGTCGGTTGCCAAGGCTGAGTAATATATTGCGACAACTTGATAACAAGGGGTGGGGTACTTTGATGACCCTCTACTCTCAAAGAGGGATTTGAAATATGAAAAGTAGGGGTACGATCAGGAAATCTTTGCTTTGCAGGTGAGCCTGCTGTCTGTCGGTAGGGTGGGGTGGTGGTGGTGGTCTAGGACCGACTCCCCGAGCGCTTCAAGTTTGCGAAAGTAGACCGACGGCACTCAAGGTAGCAACTTCTGGTGAGAAAGGGTGGGGTTCTAGCCACGAAAATGAGGGGTAGGTGGTGAGTTTTAAAACCTGCTCATTGTAAGGGTCAATTTGTAGAGGATAGGAATTGGTAGGACCCTGGGTCCTAGCCAATTACGGACATAAGATTGTAGCAGGGAGTGTGAGCCCCACCGTCCCAGTCGGGCAGCAGAGGCGAGCGAACAATGCCACGACCAAGAGGATCCAAGGAGGCAAGGATGTTGGCGATAGACTTCGCCGACATGGTGACCACCGAGGATCGATCGGCACCTTCTGACCTCATCGCCCGGCATGGCATCTACGGCATCTTTCAGGCCATGCGATCTTGTGTCCCGGGAGCTACCAGAAGCCTCGACGATCGATTGACCAATCGGAAGGCGATATCAGAAGCGGAGATGCTGAGAGAGCTAGAGCAGACGGGAAGGTACGAGCGATTCAGGAGCAGGAAGGCAGTTCGGCGATCTATGGACCCTTCAGGTGCTGGCATGTGTATGTTCAAGGGGAGAAGATGGCGAAATCCGGAGGTCGAATCGGACTTGCGGTATCTGGAGATGAGGCACCGGCAGATGTGCAGCATGTACGACATCTACAACGAAAACACGTCCTTCGACAAGATTATGGCGATACTCAAGGAAGTCCGGGTAGGATGGGAGGTCTACCTCTCAGGAAGTGGGGACTTCCTCGCTCAGCAGTGGGAGGAGAACTGCAGGAAGGAATCGATCTTGCCGTGCATCCCTGGCCCTGAATGTGACCTGTCTCTGGGCAAAAGGAAGGCTGCGGATGTTGAGGCTTCAAGCCAGGATGAAGACTGCTCGCTACAGAGCTGTTTCGACCACGACTTTCTCAAGGAGTTCGAACTGAGCACTGCAAGCTTCGACGAGTACCTCAATGTCCTGATCGAGTGCACATGATGGAGGCAGTCAGGAGTAGAGTGTTTTTCCCTTCCTCAAGACATTCAAGCTCTTAGATTCCATCGAAAAGTCTATCTACACACTTTGTTTCTCCATCCAGTGGGGCATGTTTTTGAAAGCCAAGTTTGCGTGAACACTGGCTCCCATTCAACAACAATCCACTAACTTCCGCCACCTCCAAGGCTCCATGATTAGATTGTGAACACGTGAATCGAAACGTATAATAGGAATAAATATTATTTGGCAAACGTGAGTTGTCGCCTTTCTGCATGATCCAGATATTGAGTTGTGAATTCAAGACAGAAGCAAGATTCTTTCACCTTGCCTGTTTTTCTTTGCCAAGAACACACTCATTCATGTGATTCTACATAGCACCACATTCCTTCAGCAGCTTCTCCAGCTCCCCTACGTTGATCACCATCACTGGGAACACTGAAAGTGCGACATGCCATACCGGACTTGGACTTGGCCACAACATCGTCACCACCTCCGACGAACTGAGACCAGGTCAGTTCCAACACGTGCATGCACATTGCTCTACCTTTCCTCCAACGAACACCCTTGGAACGGATCGACCACCAGTGAGAATGTTCAAAGTGTCCTGTAAACGAATTTGTCTCACATCAAAGAAGCCGCTCGATTCATCGCAGGATCTCTCAAGTATTTCATGCGTTCGGCATCATCATTCTGATAGCAATCGAGTGAAACCTGGATGTCGGCTCCGTTGTCGACAACATCCAGCTCCATGGCTTCATACTTCACTCCCATGTCGTTGAACGTAGACTTGGCCTGTGCGCAATCGGAGAAAATCACAAGCAACGAAGGAGAAAGACGGCAAATATCAAAAGAAGAGAGCGTTTGTAAGATGTTTCGTTTGACACACGCACGGCAAACTGAAGATTAGATTCGCACCTTTGCACAATATGGGCAGTAGGACTTGGAGAAGATCATGACTTTGTGACTGACCCAAGAGCTCATCGAGAGATACACGGAGAAATCATCGAGTCTCACCCCTCCACCTTCGACTTCACCATGTCTGCAAACTTTGACGACGCATCGGCACCCCCGTGGGCCCAGCGATACTGGGGATGCTCCAGATTGGCCTTTGGCATGAAGTGTGCCTGACTGCTGGGACTAGATCTCATCCACGTGGCCGCAAGTGCCGACATCTGTCTTCCTGCAGAAGCAGCTTGACCGAGAGAGAAGCACCTGCGAACGATGCGACTTCAGGCTGGAGGACTGGAGGAGAAGTCCGGGAATGCAAGAGGGCACGATACTGTGATTTATCATGGATGTGAGATCAGAGGAGCATGGAATGGAGACAAGTAGAGAGAGGGTGTTATTGAAAGGGTATGAAATGTGAATAGACACAATTAAAACAGCACAGGAGTAGCATATGGAGAGATCGCACATGTTTGAGGGAGTTTTGAGGTGAGGAGATATCTTAACAACATACAATGGAGGATTCTGATAACATTAGATCATAATACAGCAGGATTATAAGGAAACGAGATAGGTTGGTTCTCGGATGATGATGATGATGATGATGATGATGATGATGATGATGATGATGATGATGATGATGATGATGATGATGATGATGATGATGATTGAGACCATGGACGGGTGGAATTCGAGCTGAGCAGCGGAGCAGCGGAGAGACGATGTCCCTGAAGGATGGAAGAACAGGAGAGGAAGCGCGAAGCAGAGTATGACATCGATCGAACAGATCTTGAAGCCTCCGCATGTCCATCTCATGTTCGTCCTCAACTTCTTCTTCAGCATATCGCCGACCTCACCTCCTAGCAGCAAGCATTGTCCCCTTTGCAAGTCGATCCCAGCGAAGGGGTGGTCTGTTTCCTGGTGGTAAAAAGTAGGGGTAGAGCAGTGGTAAATGTGGGGTAGTAAAATCTCCTTTAGGGATTTGTGGAGGTGGGGTGGGTGGTGAAGGAATCCAGGAAAAGGGGAGGGGATGTGGTCCCCAGATGTGGCCCCCTGAAACTGCACATGCGGATGCAGGGTATGCCGCAGGCAGAGGATGATGGAGGAGGGGAGGATGAAGGAGAGAGATGAAGGAGAGAAATGAAGGAGAGAAATGAAGGAGAGAAATGAAGGAGAGAGATGAGAGGGACTAGGATGAAGGAGAGAGATGAGAGGGACTAGGATGAAGGAGAGAGGATGAAGGAGAGGAGCATGAAGGAGAGAGATAAAGGAGAGAGATGAAGGAGAGAGATGAAGGAGAGAGATGAAGGAGAGAGATGAAGGAGAGAGATGAAGGAGAGAGATGAAGGAGAGAGATGAAGGAGAGAGATGAAGGAGAGAGATGAGAGGGACTAGGATGAAGGAGAGAGAGTACGATGAAAGAAAGGAGGGAGAGAGGGATAGAAGGCAAAGGAGGGATGAAGGGGATACATAAGACACGGAAGGAAGGAGGGTCAGATGTCCATGGAGGGTCAAAGCATAGATTAACCTTTGTGACATCGAGCCTCTGATGAGTGATAATTGCAGGCCACGAGCAGGGAGATGTCAACATCGTCCTCTCTTTCAAACTTCCTCCTTCTCACTCTCGTGCTGAGCCTGTTGCTTCTGTGCCACTCTTATCAGCTCCAGCCATCCACGGCTCTTGCCCGTTTTCAACCGACTCTCCGATGTGGCAGGACGAGCCATGCAGAGGTCAGATCGAGAAGCTCCTTGCTGGTGTGCGGAAGTCTACGAATGCTGAGCTGGGGCGATGAGGACCGACCGGATCGGAGGAAGTTCGAGGGCGGAGACTTTGATCGCAGATCTTTCGGAAGGGGTGAAGAGAGAAGCTTTGGTGGCAGAAGAGACGGAGGAGGGGAAAGGATCTCGGGAGGCTGGAGAGATGGAGGAGAGGAGAGGAGGTTTGGGGGTAGGAGAGGAGGAGAGGAGAGGAGTTCGGGAGGCTGGAGAGATGGAGGAGAGGAGAGGAGGTTCGGAGGTAGGAGAGGAGGAGAGGAGAGGAGTTCGAGAGGCTGGAGAGACGGGGGAGAGGAGAGGAGGTTTGAGGGCAGGAGAGGAGGAGAGGACAGGGCGTTCGGAGGAAGGGGAGGGGAGGAGAGGAGGTTTGGGGGAAGAAGAGGAGAAGAGAGGACGTTTGGAGGCAGAAGAGAAGGAGACGACGACAGGATGCGATCAAGGAGCAGCTCCTTTCCACCCGCCAGGAGCAGGGAGGAACCTAGAAACGACCGCCTGCCAGAGTGGAGGAGAGGAGACTCAGGGGAGAGGGAGGTCGATGAGGAAGCTGTCATGGAGCTGCTTGCGCGGAGGGATCGGGCGAGGAGGAACAAGGACTTCGAGGTGGCGGATGCAATCAGGGACGATCTGCTGCTCGAGTTGAACGTGCACGTTGACGACAAGGAGCGAGCATGGTGGCCGGATGGGACGATGCCCGAGTTCCTGGCGAATGCAAAGGCAGAAGGAGGAAGGGGAAGGGCAAAGATGGAGACGTTCGGATGGGTGAGGGGGGAGCCAAAGAACATTCCCTTGGACGAAATGTTGATCTATCAGCTCCTGAGCCGACGAGAGATCGCGAGAAGGTGCAAGGAGGGGAGGGATGTGAGGTGGTGAGAAGAGAGGAAAAGGAAAAGGAAAAGGAGAAGGAGAGGATGTTGTGGAGGAGAGGGGAAAGGTCGTGGAGGAGTGAGGAGTAAGAGAGAAGAAGCGAAAATGGTTGAAAGGGAGGGGAGTGCGAACAGTGAGTGATAGGAGGGAGGCATGAAAGGAAAAGTTTGGAAAGCAAGATTAAGGAGGCATGAAAGGAAAAGTTTGGAAAGCAAGATTAAGGATGAGGGAGGAGGAGCAGGGAAATGACTGTGAGGAAGAAAATTGACTTCGACCCCAGAAATCGAGAGTTTGACCTTGCGGACGACCTGATGGATCAACTGCGAAGGGTGAGTAATTTACAAATATTTGCTTTCCTTCCCTTCGCTGAATTCCCCCCCCTCCCCTTCAAACGCCCCCTGCACCCATTCCTCTGCTTCTGCTTTTCCTTGCCGAATTTCCCTTCCCTTTCTTTGCCTGCACTCTCGCTGCTCCATCTCTGATTCCCTCCCGAAGTCTGGCGTCTCGTTCTGCGACGACAACTCCAAGGTCTGGTACGCGAGCTCAGCAGACGACAAGATATCAGCGAGGAGAACTGGGGACTGGGACTGCGAGAAGTGCGGAGCTCTTGTGTATGGCTCCAAGGACGTCTGCTTCCGCTGTGGCAACCCGCGAACCATGGTAGTGATGCTCGGTGCTGACTTGGGCGTACCTCTGACTTGGGAAGGAGCAGAGCTTCGGAGAGGACAGCGGGATTTCGAGGAGGCAGGAGTCGGCGAGCCCCGTCAAGGATCGGAAGCCGGCGTACAAGAGGAGGTGGAGCAGCAGTATGTGCTGGCTCTTGCTTGACAATTGTGATGAAGGGAAGGAGACGATGCCCAAGTCGACGAGGAAGAGGTCGAGGAGCTGATTCAAGTCAGAGAGAAGGTCCCCCTCACCCCTCTCCTCCTGCCCTCCGCTCTCCTCCGCTCTGCCTCCCTCTCCTCCCCCTCCTTCCTCGCCCTCCTCCCCTCCCTCCTCTCCTTCCTTCTTGATTTGCTTCCTCCCCGCCTCCTTCTGCTTTCCCATCGTCGATCTTATTTATGGTCCCCTACGTCTTTCCTCTTTGATCGCTATCTCCCCGGGGGAGAGGAACTCGCAAGGACGCGACATGATCGACGTGGCGCAGGCGCGGAGGTTCCGAAAGTTCAGAGAGGCCGATGAGATCCGACAGGAGCTGATGGACATGGGAGTCGCCATTGACGATCAGGAGAGAGTCTGGTGGGTCGATGGCAGGTGAGACTTGACTCCTCCTTGGCCGCTCCCTGGCCGCTTCCTCCGAGTCCCTTGACCCCAATGCTCACCTTCCTTCCTCCTCGTCGATCTCCCTGTTCTCCCACGACTCCTCCCTCCCCTCCCTCCCCTCCCTCCCCTCTCGTTCAGGTCAACCCAACTTGCTTCCTACTCGTGACCTCCTCCCCTGCAGGCAACGCAACGACCGAGGAGGAGGAAGGAGGGACGGCAACAGAAGAGGACGGAGCAGGCGGTGAGACGAACGTTTGTCTCCTAGCGCGGCATGTGACCTCCTTGATCAGCAGCGAGGACGGACGGGGAGACTTCGGCGACTACAGCAGGGAGGATCTGGGATGGGATTGAGGAGGCCAATCGGGCGACGTGACTCGCGAGGAGGCCCTGAGGAGGAGGTGACCATGATTGCTAATGGCGGCGGTAACACCTGAGACGACTGAGTGAAGGCTTTCATGTTTCAAAATTTCAAACTGTGCCACCGTGACTCCTCAAAGCCCACCGTTGTCACTCAGCACTGTACTGTACCTGGTCGATATAGAGGCACTCAGCCGGGCGGCCGGACTCGAACCGTGCTGAGCGCGTCGCCGGCTGACCGGACCGCCGACCAGCCTGAGCCCGGCGGCCCGGCGGCCCTCCGAGCCGCACGTTGCGGAGACCCTGGCGGCGGCCCGGCAGTCTCTGTGACAGTTGCACTGAGTTTGCACGGCCCGGCTAAAAAAACGCCCGGGATGGTCAAAATTCCCCTCAGACATCTCTTGGCATTTGTGTAAGGTCTATAGTGAATATCTTTTCCTCATTCTCGTTCATAGTCAAATATCTCGTAGCAAAATTCATTAATATAGTCAATATTTGCTGATGTTGGGTCCCATAGTCAATGTATAATGTTTATAGTCAACATCTCAATAGTCAATCTCAAATCGGTTCCCCGGCGAGGTATGACTGAGAACCGGGACAAGGAGGAGGAGGAGGAGGAGGAGGAGGAGGAGGAGGAGGAGAAGAAGAAGAAGAAGAGGGAGGAGGGAACAGAGATTCCTAGGAGGAGGGAGAAGAACTAGTCACAAGAAGGCAGGGAGGAGGCTGGGGAGGCCAGGAAACTAGAAGGGGAAAGAGGTTTCAGCATAGTCGATGCGGTTATAGCGAGAGGGAAAAGTTTGTGGACGAGCACAAAACCTGAGGCAGCAATTTACGAGGGTACATCAAAGAAGCTCGCTGGCACGAATTCTAGAGGTAGTTTGTCAACAGCAACAGACCTGGTCGACGTTGAGAGTCACGTCTGGTGGTTTGGAAGTTGGAGGCTAGTACCCCTAGTTGGAGGCTAGTACCCCTTTTCTTTCCTTCGATAGTCACGGGAAGAGAAAGAGGAATCTCCAGCAGAAGCAGCATGCGCTGATCTTCCTCCTCCCTCACGGTTTTCTCCCTTGTCAGGCTCCTTCGAACTACCGGATAGCCTCCGATGAGAATTTTGTGAAGATTTGAGGTACTATGCGTGGCGTTGCTCACAAGGCGTCGCCTCTGACCATGGCAGCGCGTCGACGTTTAGCTGCCTGCCGTCGTTGGTGTCTTCTCCTCCTTGCCATGGGTTGCGGGGCTTCGAAGGCGGATGTAGGGAGGCGGGTCTGAGATTGAGCTCGTTCTTACCCCTTGACAGCATGCGCACCATCCTGAAGCGGACACGCTTCCTGCAGAAGCTCAGAGGTTCGATCCCACAACGCAGTGCTCCTACACCGAGGACGAGCTCCTTGCTTGCCACAAGGCAGGGTACACGGTACAGGGGAAGCTGGAGGTGAGGAGAGGCGGAAGGCAACGGGTAGGAGTGGGGACCTGACAGTGCTGCTGGTTTTCAGAGACGAGACAGCTTTTCGGAGGTGTATGAGGGGTTTCATGACACGACTGGCCGTGTGGTCGCTCTGGTTTGTCACTTTCTTCTCCCATTCCTTCCCTCTCCCTTCTGGTCCCCCTCCCCCTCCCTCGCTCTTCCTCCCCCTCCCTCGCTCTTCCTCCCCCTCCCTCGCTCTTCCTTCCCATCCCTCGCTCTTCCTTCCCCTCCCTCGCTCTTCCTTCCCCTCTCTCCCGACCCCTTCGTCTCCCTCCCTCTCCTTGTTCTCCCATAACGATGCGATGGGCAGCGCTGCGTTCCCTGCGTTCAGTACGACAAGAGCAAGATCATGAATGACCTGCGCGAGCTTCTGGTCCTCAGGCATCCAACTATGCCTCTGGTCAGTTCATGCGATGTAGTCTGCTCCTGCTCCTGCTCCTGCTCCTGCTCCTGCTCCTGCTCCTGCTCCTGCTCCTGCTCCTGCTCCTGCTCCTGCTCCTGCTCCTGCTCCTGCTCCTGCTCCTGCTCCTGCTCCTGCTCCTGCTCCTGCTCCTGCTCCTGCTCCTGCTCCTGCTCCTACTCCTGCTCCTCTCCTGATCCTTAACGCCCCTCCCTCACAGATCTGGGATGTTTGGGATACGGAGGATTCAGTGTTCTACGCGCAGGACGTAGGTAGGTGGAGCGAAGGGTCGGGTTGCCATTGCGGGACTGAAAACCTTGCAGCCGGTGCCGAAATCCTCGAAGTTGTTTCTCAGTGGGAGGAGTTCACGGAGAAAGACTCAGCCATCCTCGTTCAGCAGGTGAGAAGTCGCTGAGAGCGTGCGGATGCGATCGCGTGATGGTTTCTGCTGCAGATCCTGGAGGGGATCAACTACCTACACGTGCATGGGATAGTACATCAGGACTTGCGGCCTCGGAACATTCGATGCGGTAAGAGGAGGGAAATGGATGGAGGGGGGAAGAGGAAGGTAGGAAGGAAGGGAAGAAGAGCGAGTGAGAGGGAGAGGAGAGAAGAGAGCAGGAGAGAGGAAGAAAGGGAGAGGAGGGATGTGGAGGATTTGGAGATAGGGAGGCGAATGGGTCTCTAACGGGCAGGAGTGGACGGAGGACGCTGCGAGTGTGTTTCCTGACTTGCTGCCAGACGGGAAGAAAGTTTTCATCACGGAGACTGGAATGCAAACCATCAAGGTGGTGACATGAAGATCGTCTTCATACCGAACTGACTCCCCTCCCTTCCCTCCCTGCTCGACAGGATGGCCGCCTATCCTATCGCTACCTGGTTAAGACGAAGATTCCCCCGATACACGTTCCTCCTGAAGTAGTCCTTGCCCTTGGTATGCCTCGATGGGATTGTGACGCGATTGCGCAGGTAGCAAAAGACGTCCTGGTGGATCGCAGCCAAGACTCCAAATCCTTCACGAGCAAGGTGATTACATTCTTGTTCCTTGCTCGTCGCCCCTCCCCCTTCTCGTCGTCTGCCTCCTCCTCCTCCTCCTCCTTCTGCTCCTGCTCCTGCTCCTGCTCCTCCCCCTCTCTTCCTCCTCCTCGCTTGGTAGCCATCTTGCATGCATCATTCTCGTGTCTCTGCCTCGTCCTTTCTCCTTCCTCCCTCTTCTTTTCCTGATCCCTGGCTCCTCCGCCGATGCTGCAGGGTGACATATGGAGTGTGGGAGTTATTCTCTATACTCTGCTGTGTGGAAATCCACCGATGTGGTCAGAAAACTCTGTCGTGCTCCTACAGGTTTGCTCCTCTCTTCCTCCCGATTCCCGTTGCTCATCACAGTCACCCTGCCACCCCATCCTCACTTCATCCTTCCAGTTCTCTACCACCTCCTTGTCCTCCACTACCTTCTCCGCCTCTTCCTCTTCCTCCTCGATCCTCATATCTTCCTCCTCCTCCACTACCTCCTCCCCTCCTCTCTCTCCCCCCGTTGACGTCCCTTCTCAGAGGATCTCGAAGGCTGAGTACGATCTCACCAACAACCTCTGGAGCAAGATCTCATCCAAGTCCAAGGTGAGGGAGGCGACAGGCCAACCATGTCCGACTCGCTCGACGCCGCTGACTATGCATGCAGACGTTTCTGCAGCAGATGTTAACGGTGGCTTCTCCCCTGCCTCCTCGTCCTCGTCCTCGTCCTTGTCCTTGTCCTTGTCCTCCTCCTTGTCCTTGTCCTTGTCCTTGTCCTTGTCCTTGTCCTTGTCCTTGTCCTTGTCCTCCTCGTCCTCCTTGTCCTCCTAGTCCTCCTCCTGATGATGATCTTGGCTGCTCTGCAGGAGGACCCGGAGAAGAGGCCTTCAGCTGTTGATTGCATCTCTGTAAGACTTGCACTCTTCCTCTCCTCCTGCTCTGCTGTCGTCCCTCCCTCCCCCTCTCCCTCCTCTCCTCATCATCATGACCTCCTGGCTCTTCCCTTCCCCTCCCTTCCCCTCGCCTTCCCCTCTTGTATTTCTATCATCATTTCTCCATTGCCCTCCCGACCTTCTGCTCGCTCTCCGGCTTGTGTCCTCTGACTCCTCCCCTCTGCAGCACAACTGGATTCAGTGCCGCGATGACCTGTACCGGACACGCTTGCTGGTGCCTCTTCCTAACGATGTCTTGCAGACCCACCGTTCCGCTCCACATCAGCCTGACCCTCACTGACTTCATTGCTCAGCAGAAGGGACGTCGGGTAAGGGAGGCGCGGATGCGCTAGCCCATGGCCTGACCTCTCTGGTTCCATCAGGCCATGGCGAAGATTGCTGCTGTAAACAAGCTTTTCTCAGCCAACAAGGTGCCGGTGAGTTTTGAGCTCGGAATAAACATGCGAGGCGGACTGAGACGCGACCTGCAGCAGGTTAACGCAACCAAGATAGAAGGTGAAGTGTGTGTGGTTGCTACATGTCATGCCGTAAAAACGTCCGCAGAAGTCGACGACGACGTTCAAGAGTTTGTGAACGGGGACGACGTTGCTGCTCAATGAGCTAGCCCTTCTTGTAAATATGTAATCTTGATTAAACACTCAGTGCATTGGATCGTCGAAAACACACACAAGCCGGGCAATGTAGCACACAGCACAGCTAGAGAGAAGGGCTCGCGCAGCTTTTAACATCTTTCAGCAAAAAACGAGATGAAGGAGAATCGAAAATAAACAAAGAAGCAGATTTGGCGAGATCCTCCCGATGTTGTCGCTGAACATTTCCTATGGCCACAGCAGATTAACCAGCAAAGTTCGGACTGGACCTTGTGAGCACAGAAGAGAAGAAAAAGAGAGCAGGAACGAAGCAATGCGGAGAAGAGGGAGTGAGGGGGGGCGAGAGAGGGAGGGCAAGCTGTTGGTGAGCTGAAGAGTAGCTCGACAGGTGGTTGGAGACGTTGGAATCGGTGAAAAGAAACAAGTTGACCAGCTCATGTCGGCGCACATGGTCAGGAAGAACAAGAAAGAAATGATATGACGAGGACCAAGATCGTGGGAGCACAACAGCGCACTTCGAAATCCGTTGCAGCAAGGAGCAAAGGAGCTCAAACCTAGGCAAGGGGCAGGTAGACGAGACCACTGCAACCTGACCCTCAGCCCTCCACTCAGATCGCCTTCACTTGCGGAGCAAGGAACCCTTTGAAGACGTGCCCGAGCGCAATAAACTGCACGTGTATGTGCCTTTCGTGGATCTTGCCCTTGGCGGCAGGGCGGTAATGCAGCTGAAAGAAGAGCGAGTCGCTGATGGTGCACTCGGGACAAGACATGGTGAAGGTGACGATGGTCAGAGGGTTCGCCAGGGCGAGGTTGATGGCGCTGGAGAAGATCCAGGAGCCGGTCTTTGAACCCAGCAGGCCATCCACCGTCATACCCATACACTTGTCAACCTGCATGTTGAACATGTTGGCCGTCTCCTCCTCGATCTCGATGATGCCGAAGGGCCGCACTCCAGAAAGGTTCATCATCCCGATAGGAATGTCGTCCTCCACAGTAACCCCACACCTCTCTTTCAGAGCAGCGAGGATGTAATGTCGTTCCAGAGGCATGTGGAAAACTTGTAACGGGCGGCACTATAGCAGCACTTGTGCCTGTATCGCAGCTTCCCCCTGGATGGCCAGTTCTTATCGAGAGTTTCCAGCTTCGCGAGAAGATCTCTTCCCTCTCCCGCTTGCTTGCAACGTGCCTTCTTCCTCCCTCGAACCTGTCTTCCCCGCCCTCCACACTTTGCCCCTTGCAACCGTTGAGAGCACCACCTCCTTCCTCCTTCAACTCCCCACTCGCTGATCCTCCTTCCCTGCAACTTTGCCCACTGCCAGTTCACAAGCGAATCTGCACTACTGGCCCGTTAGTACCAGATCTCTCTTTTTTTACTTTTTTTTGTCCTTTTTTCGACTTTTTTCCTCCTTCTGCCCTTCCTCGCTGGCGGCAGCTCGTGGGCTCAAACGTTGCACTCTGGCGTCGCTTCCCGGTCGCGATGACGGCTGCTTATCCGCGTGATTTTAAATCGAAAATGAGTGTTTTCGATATTTACAATATGATAGATCGTTTTTCTAGAACCTTCCACTGTAGTACCCATCTTCTCTATGGACCCCCTCTCAACTTCACCTCCTTGACTTCGAATGAACGGGTGATCAAGAGCTTTGAATGTATGGTAGGGGTTACTACCCACCCTATCAATTTTAAACTAGCCTTATCCTTTAAATGCCTTCAGGTCTCAAATGTCCGTGAGATCCACCCTCCATTCTCCACCCCTCATGTTCCCTATGAGTACCCCCTAAATCACCCCTTCTCTTTAGCTACTACCCCCTTTATTAAAGAGTGCAAAATGACCCACTGACGATGCAGTGAACCCGTCTGTTGACCGATAACCACCCCCTCCAGTTCCCTTTGAATTACGCACCCGTTGCCTCTCTATGCCCCCATGCCAGTCATCAACTAATCCCACTACCCCTACCCCGTTATATCCACAAAATCTCTGGTACCCGTGGTACTATGCGACTTCTCGGCTTCTTGCTCCGGCGGCCTTACAGGTTTCTGACCGCATCCTTATTACTCTGACCCCACCCTACTTTTGTCCTCTAAAGGACCCCTACTTCCCTCCAAGGCTATTCATCGCCCCTTCGAGATAACGGTCATAACGTCAGGACGCCAAAGAGCTTTCAAACCGATTTGAATTCGAATTCGAATTTTGTTCTCCATTTTCAAATGCTAAAAAATCACTAATCAGCAGGGGTATATAGGGGCTGGCGACAACTGTCTCTAACAGCCCAGGGCATCAGCCTGCCCGGTTAGCTCAGTCGGCAGAGCGCAAGGCTCTTAACCTTGTGGTCGTGGGTTCGAGCCCCACATCGGGCGATACTCTTTTTGATTCTGGACATCGTGTGTATACCCCTTCCTGAAGCTGTCAATTTCGGACATGGAAGGGGTGGGGGTCATCACCCCCCACCATTTTAGAAGCAAAATCAAATGTTACCGGTGTTTTTCATTTTGCTTTTCTGGATTAGGGGTGGTGGGGGTCATGACCCCCTGCTGTATTATGATAATGCTTCTCAACCCCCCTATTGTGGACAGAGCGGTTTGCGGCAATCATGGCGAGGAGAGAGGAAAGAGGGAGAGGAGGAAGGAAGCAGAGCGGGAAGAGGGAGGCAGAGCGGGAAGAGAGGCAGAGCGGGAAGAGGGAGGCAGAGCGGGAAGAGGGAGGCAGACAGAGAAAGACAGAGGGAGGCAAGCCTTAGCGGACACTGTATTGATGATGAGGATACTGGAGAAGGACAGAGAGACCTAGCAATTGTAGAGGAACGAGGCGGCGGGCTGGCGGGCGGGCGGGAGGCAGGGAAATACATATTGCTGCTGGCTGCTGCTGGCTTCTGCTGGCTGCTGCTGGCTGCTGCTGCTGCTTACATGTCTCCCACTTTCATGAAGTCAATCATCCCTGAGACTCGAAAAAATGCACTTGCGGGATCCAATATGTGAGCTCGATGGAGCACTGAGAAGAAAGTGCTGTAAACTTGCCCTCCCTCCGTTCCTCTGCCCAGCGTGTGCTCCTCCGTTTCCCCTTCCAGCTCCTTCGCTTCACAGACTTCACCTGACTTCACGGGACAGGTCATCATGATCTGAAGGATTTATCACTCGCTACGATCGGCCTTCCGTCTTGTGGCAACATCATTCTGTACAGAAAGCTTTTGATATGGGGGCCGCAAGCTCGATTGAAAACTCAGAGGTAAGATGCTTGCTCCACCTCCATCTCCATCTCCATCTCCTTCTCCATCTCCTTCTCCTTCTCCTGCTGCTACTTTTGCTCTTGCTCCTACTTCTGCTGCTGCTGCTGCTGCTGCTTCGGCCCTTGCTCAAGTTTCTTACACCAGGAAGGCATCCTGGTCGAGTCATTCCGCTGTCATGAATGCGATTACAAGTGGAATCAAAAGGTAACCCCACACCCTTTCCACCTCCCCACCAGTGCAAACAAGCTCAGTCAGTCCTCCATTGCCCTCCTTCTCTTCTCTTCCTCTCCCTATCGAAGTCGCTCAGTCCTCGACGACGCTGTGTGTACAACTCCCTGATGGGCGGTGCTGGCAGGCAGACCTCGATCACGAGTGCCCGTCATGGTTGGCATGCTTGTTCTCTATCCTCCCCTATCCCTCTCACCCTTGCATTACTCGCAGTGGAGGAGACTTTGTAGAGCGGATCAGCGTCGGACTGATGCAGAATCGTCCAAGGCATCTTCGAGTCAACGAGGAGGCTATAGAGCAGGCAGTGGCTGCTGCTGTGGCTGCAGGGGAAGGAGAGGATAGACTAACAGTGCAAGAGCTGATGTTGAACATAGCACAGGTTGCTCCATGCGCAGGACAGCCACGTGTCGCCTAACAGTTGTCCTCGGCAGTTCGGGTTGAGCGCCGACGACGGAACGAGGAGCGAAATTCAGTCGGAAGACCCCGAGCTGAGGGAGGCAATCGAGCGATCAATCGCCGAGACTGAAGGAAACCTTCGACTTCCTCCTCCTGCCTCCCAGTGAGAGCTTTGTCCTCCCCTTTGCCTCAGAACTCTGACAGGAATGGTAGGAAAGCCATGGCTACCTTAAAGACCAAGAAGTATGCGGGTGAGACGTTCCATCGGCAGGAGGCGACATGCGCAGTCTGCAGGTGGACGTGAGCTGTCGGGTGATGGAGGGTCTGACGCTGAGGGGCTAGCGAGGACTACAAGTATGGGGAAGAGCTTCTTTTCATGCCGTGTGAGCACGTGTTCCACAAGGTGACGCCTGCTGAGGGAAGGAGGATAATTAGGAGGAGGAGAATGGAGGGGTGACAGTAGTAGAAGCAGGAGCAGGAGCAGGAGCAGGAGCAGGAGCAGGAGCAGGAGCAGGAGCAACAGGAAGAGTTTGTATCATCCTGACTATCTTATGTCTCGCTCGTTCCAGGCTTGTTTGCTCCCCTGGCTCAAATCGACCAACTCCTGCCCGGTCTGCCGCATGACGCTCGAGGTCCGTGAACGCCTTGCGGAGGAGGATGCTGAGAGCTGATTGATCCAGACGGACGATGAGAAGTATGAGGAGACGCGAGTGAGGATGAGCAAGACGGGAAATAAGTGAGTCCCGTTTTCTCCCCCCTCCCTCCCTCCCTCCCTCCCTCCCTCCCTCCCTCCCTCCTCAAAAATCCCTTCCTTCATACTTTCTCCCTTCTCTTCATTCCTTCCCATCCAGTTGTCCTTGACTCGTCAACGAGCCTCCTTTCTCTCCCCATTCCAATCTCCATTCCTCTTCTCATCGCTTCCTGTCTGCTCAGGTTACAAAAGACTCAGCCTCCACCACATGGTTGGCTCTACTTCACCATTCCTCCTTGGGCTCATTTCTGGCAGGCAACCCTCCTCCCGATGCCCCCCCTGGTGCACCGCAGGCGGTCGAGCCCCCTGCTCCTCCCCCGAGCGGCTTTTCCCGTGCAAGCAGCTCCCGCGATACAGCAGTGAGGAGGATACCGAGCACGCCAGCCCCTCGCCACGTTCCCTCAGTCTCTCCTGCTCCTGCTCCTCCTCTCAGCGTCTCTCCTTCTACCACAGCTGCCGCTGCCGCTGCTTCTGCTTCCCCGAGCAGGCAGTCAACGATCGAGCGGCTCATGGCTCGGGAGGTTCCGCGACTTGTCTCTTCGCCTGCTCCCCGGCTGTCAGGACGCAATGAGACGCAGAGCTTTTCGAGCTCGAGAGTTGTGGCTCAGAGAAGAGCGGGGGGACGCTTGCAAGGTGAGAGGAAGGAGGGAGGGACTGCGGCAGATTGGAATGGAGAGCAGGAAAGGAATAGGAGAGGCAAGGGAGAGAAACGGATGGGGAGAAGGACGAGGAAGAGGAAGGAAAAGGGGAGGAAGGAGTTGAGGAGGGGAGGGAAGGGGGAAGGGGAGGGAAGAAGAGGGAGGGAAGAAGAGGGAGGAGAAGGGAGGAGCAACTGAGGGATATGCAGGAGAGCACGAGGCAATGAAAAGAAGTTTCAGCCGAGGAAGCTCGTCGGGAAGCAACGGGAGGATGGAGAAACAGCGATAATCGTGACCGCAGTTCATTCGCAGCCTAAAAATGTACAGGGCATTGTAGGATAATGAAACAGGTGGAAGAGGACAGGGAAAGGGAGGAGGAAGAGGGGAGGAGGAGGAGGAGACGGATTCCCCTCCTCAGGTGCACAGAGCGTTACGCCATGACACATAGCGAGAGTGACCGGAGTCGGTCTTGAGCTCGGCATATTCCCGGAGGATGAGTTGGAGCTCGCACACGTACCACTTGGCAGACAAGAAGCGGAGGTTGAGCAGGACGTCTCTGTAGCCAGCAGTCGCGCTGGCGTCGTACCTGCGGTCAAGTCGGTTCTTGACGCGCACTAGCTCGACGTCCTCGTCCTCGAAGATGACGCGGAGGCAGGACGTCAGGTCTGCGACCGAGTCGAAGATGATGGACTGGCGGACGATGTCGAGGATCTTCGAGACATCGCTCGAGTAGATGCGCACGATCTTCTCAATCGCTCGCTCCCTCTTCTTCAGCGACGCCCACTTCACGCACGTCACCTCCCGCCCGTCCGTCGACATCAGCCGGAGGTACTTGGGACACTCGCTGCACACGATGCAGGGAAGGAGGCCCGCCCCCTTCGAGGCCCACAGCAGCGTCTTCTCCCGGAGGAGGGGGTCGACGACACTTGATCCAGCGTACAGGCGGTCCAGACAAGTCTCGGGCATGAGGCGGCAGATATGGGAGGGAGGCTGATACTGAACTGCGTCCCTGGTACAGCCGTTCTGGACATGCCGCACCAACCTGTCGAGATCGAGCAGCGCTTGCTTTTGCGTGGCCATGATCTGACTCCACAGCTCCCTGTACCTGTCCTTGTCGTCTCTCACGAGCTGCTTCGCAGTTGCGACGATGATGCTCCTGCTGATGAAGACAGAGATCGCAATGCTCAGGCAGGGGATGCTGATCACGAAGTACCACACGGAGGAAGAGTATGGCCCATCGTACGGGGAGTGGAGCAGCACAAGGGCCGAGGCCATCGAGAAGGTCCCGATGGTGATGAAGAAGGACTGCACGTGCTCCTTGCTGAGGCCCGCGAGGAAGAGAAAGGCGAGGCTGTACTGCAGGGCAGATGACAAGGCATGCCAGTGCGTCCAACTTCCTTTCTCGCACATCTGAGTTTCACCTCCACACGTCCACACCCACACGGCGATGGCTGCGTCAGACAGCGCACACCACATGACGACAAAGCTCAACAGGCTCCTCCCGCACCTCTCTAGGCCGATCGCCCCGCTCAGCCCCGTCAGTCCGGTGAAGACAGCGACCATGAGGTTGGTGACGAGCTGCATCTTCTGCGGGAAGTGCGGCCTCCTGCTCTGCATCTCGAGCTTGCCCCGCTCCTCCGTCGTCGGGTAGCGGCCATGGAAGAAGGTGCTTGTTGAAGAGATGGTGAGGTAGCTGGAGGACCCAACGAGCGTCCACGACTGCGAGTCTGCGTCGAAAGCCTCGAAGGTGAAACGGACGGGGTCGAAGCTCAGGTCCTCCATGGAGGTGTTGAAGAACCAGCCATTCCAAGGAACGGGGGAAGGAAGAGAGATCTCGATGGAGGAGCCATGGCGCTCCAATGAGCGCAGCGGCAGCGGCACCACTCGGTCCTTGAGGAGGAGTCCTACGGAGTGCACGTTGCTGGACAGGGGGCACATCTCGTTCCTGAGCTCAAGGGCAGTGAAGCGAAACCTCGAGCTCAGCCTCACTGCATCGCTCTGGAGGAAGACCAAGTCGTTTTGGAAGTAGTAAGTCAAGATGGAGGACATGAAGGCAAAGAAAATCCTAAAGGGCAGCCTGGTGAGCGCAGCCGTCATCGGCTGTGAGGAGTAGAAGAGCGAGGAGTAGCTCGCTGACTCTGTCGCTCGCTTCAGCTCCAGTCCAGAGATCAGGTCGCCTTTCTTGATGGAGCAGCTTCGCTGAAAGATCCAAGAGTCCCTGCAGTCGCAGTCGACATTGAAGCCGTCGTCGGAGAATGCCGAGTCGGAATTAGAGGAGGCTGACGATTCGGTATGGACCAGTTGCTCACAGTGCCAGCAATGCTGCTCACGCACAACCATATCGCGGTGATCGCTCTTATCCCTTTCCTGACACATCAAGAGAATTCTTTTGTTTGTCTCATGTAAGGAACATTCGTGGAGGTTCTATTTGTTCGCCTGCAATGTACACATCAGCCCTATACCCGCTGCACTCCAGGGAACCCCAACACATCACAAAATGAAATTGGGTGAAAGTGAGTGAGAAAAATGATTCTTGATACAGTGCCACACCAACTACCTACGTTTCAGTCCCACCACCCACATCCTTAACAGAGAAATGTCTGACTGAACCCTTATCTTTCAAAGGATTTCTCTCTCCAAAGTTTCCTTATATATAAAAAGATAGAAAAACATCAAAAAACACCAACACATGGAGGAACAAATTCACAGCATCGAGAAAATCCCACATCCTTCAAAACTCCCACACACCTCCACAAAACCTCTGGCATTCTCTCTGTAATGAGTTCAGGACTAAATCTCCTTCTCAAGAATGAACTTCGCATGCTTCCTTCATCCTTCTTCCTTCTTCTTCGTTTCTCACCACAATCCCCTCCCTTCACTCCCTTCATTGTCCTCGCCCTTCTCCCCCGCTCCTCCTCCTTCCCCACATTCTTCTTGCATGCAATAATAGCTGGCATGGTCTCTGACCCCCATGTGTTTGCATCCCGTTTGAGCTGTTTCCTATGACCAACGCCGTATCCGATTGGTACCAATACTATGGGATTCCTAGGACTCCAGTACCCCCTCTTCCGACGAATTGTAGGACGACTTTGTCCAGAACCCCTGGGTCCCTGGCAGTCAATTTGAAGGTGGGTAGTCACCAAGAAACTTCTGTACCACCGGTACTTTTCAAGTATATTACCCCGGTTTTGGACCTCGGGTTGTTGTGCAGTGCTAAATTTGGGTGGGGGGTGGGGGGTCATGGGTGGATAGTGTCTATCTGACGATTTTTCAAAATATTGTTGTTAGACTTCCGAAAAAGAACCTTTTCGAGATCATACAGAACACTCCGTTTTGTTTCGTTAGTGAACTCATGCGATATTGAAGCGTTTCAAAATAGACCGGGGTACCTAGTCTTGTCTTCAATACACCCCCATTTAGATCATGAAAGTACCCCCTCCGAAGTCCATGCTTTGTGCAAAGAATTGCGAAAAACTCAAAATTGTGATATATGGGTGGGGTGGTTCAGAATTCGCCAAGTCACTGGAAAAAATTGTCTGGTTGTCTGCATATTTCTAAAGTTATTCTTTAATTTGAACACCATAGTAACTATTTGATGGTATGATTTCAAAGGTGCCACCACTGCGGCCTCCACGGCCTCGCAACAGCTGTTTACTCCATCAGCAGTCCATGGTCTTCAAAAGTACCCCTACTTTTCACACAATCAGAGGGGGTACTCATGAGTACCACGAAGGTTTTTTAGAGCAAGGGGTGGAACAGTACCGTAGTACCGGTATGAAACAGGTATACTGGACGGGTGCATCGCAGGGGGCGCAAAAAAGATAAGACGGTTCGATGCGGACAGGGTCTTGTAGTTGACTCGGTCACAGCCGAGCATGAAATCTAGTGTCCTCGTACTGATTTTTAACTTAACTTTGAGTAAAGAAAGTGACTTCATGAAACTTGCCGGGGGCGAACTTTCGAACTCGGAACCGCGCGTACGGGCGGTAACGGTTTGCCTTCCGTGCTACAGGTGACCGTCAGGCGTACAGTCTTTAACAGTGAAACAGTACCCAGTAGTGATTCAATGGCCGTTTTCCGGATGGAATTGCATAGCATAAATACCGATAGAAATGAAACAGATATGGAAGTCTGTGCTCATTACTGTGCACACCATCACTCGGTACAAAGTTGCATTTCGTTCAATCAATGTCAAATGCGTACGCTGTAGATGCATAGTCATAGGGAGAGGTCCTTCATACCAATTTGCAGACCCTCTGACGAGATTGGATTCTTCATGTCCCAGCCGAAAGAATTAGCCTGTCGTGCTCGTACCAACCAACCTGCATGTATGTATTTTCCATGTTGTCATGGTTTCTTCTTCATAATCGATGCTACTCTTTGATGATCTTTCTTCTCAAGTTTCTTTTAAAAATTTCTTTCTTCTGAATTCAATCAGGTGTTTTCACTTCTCATGGCGATGATTGGAGCACGCTTCCTGTTGTAAACGGTGTTTCTACAAACTCCAGAGGACCCCTGTTCTCAAGGTTCGAGTTCTCGTACGATGTCAGAACGCAGTCAAGCATCATCTTTCGCTCATCACAATCATTGCAGAAGGAATGTCGCTCAATCTTGTTTAATCGTCGCTGCTATCCCGCCCCATCTGCATGTTTTGGAATTTTCGTACAAGCGCACCAGACATTTTTGTCGGGCTTAGTACCCTACCCTCTCTCACCCCTCAATTCTCCTTTGGTTTGGTGGGTGTCTTGTAGAGTACAATTCTTTGCAAGGGGGTGGGTACCTCTATGGTTAGAGACCGGGTAGTTGACCAGTGGAGGGGTAAAGGGTATCGACTACCCACCCTTTGACGCGCTCAAAGATGGGACAAACTGTACCTTTGACCTGTTGCGGGGGGTAGGGGAAAAAAGGAAGACAGTCAAAAGGTAGGGTAGGTGAGTTTAGTACCCATGATTTTCCTTGAAATTGTGGGGTGATTGAGTACTACCGGTACTACGAGAGGTGCAGCGGTAGGTGGGTGGTGTGATCACAGACTCATCATCATTGGGCGGTGCAAACTGCAGGGGGGTCACGTGGGTGTGTCACTAGCACCATTTTGGTGGGGGTGGTACCGAAAAGGGTGGGGTGGTGATAATTTTTTGAGTCTGGGGTCATTTCCGAAGTACCGGTATAATTTTGAACCAGAAGCGAAGGCAGGGGTGGGGTGAGCAGCAAGAGAATCGTGATCATGAGAGGAGTATGTTTATAGTTATTTCACCAAGTGATTTACATATAGTATGAGACATACGTTCAGATTGCATACAAAGGAAACCAAATCAATGAAAGGGAGGGGTACAGGTTGACGCAGGTGTGGAATGAGATCGAAGGGTGGGGTAGGACTTTTACGATTGGCCAAGGGGGGGTGGGGCTATCATAGCGAACGATCACAGCAAACGTGAGAGGAAACAAAGGAGGAGGTAGAGGAAGAGGAAGAGGAAGAGGAAAGAAGAGGAAGAGGAAAGAAGAGAAAGAGAAGCAGGAAGAGGAACAGAGGGAAGGACAAAGCACGCAGGAGCGAGGACAAGAAGAATAACCAGGACAAAGGAGTCGTCCAGATCAGTATAAGTGAGTAGTTGGATCTGAAGAACAAAGAACAGTTGCATTTGCATTTGCCTGTGAGGTAGGAACAATAGGAAAAACGAGGGGAATCAGGTCGACAATTCTTTGAGCTTAAACGAAACGGGTAGAAAGCAATCGTGCATCTCTCCCAGAGGTGGAAAGCTTGCGAGACAGCATAGCAGATACGCTCGTCGGAACTTCGTCAAGGCCCTTCGTCTGAGATCTGGAGGGTCCATGCGATCTGGAGTAACACGGAGTTGTTCTTCTCCGTAGCATCAAGAGGATCGTTGCAGGTGAAAGAGACCGGAGAAGTCACTGTTGTGAGGGGCTGATGCTCTGACGATCAATCAAGCTGAAGATGAGCCGCCAAGATTTTGGTGCGAACAATGAACAGCCTACATTGGCAGACGCTGCTTCGAGGGGGATGCAGGAACTCAGGATATCGTCGGAGGCATCGGGGGATTCGGTCTCGGTGAAAGCTTCTCCGCCACCGCATGCCGCTACCATTCGCGGCAGTGCGATGACGAGAAAGTTAGAAAGACTGCGCAATGCCGAGCAACAGCTCCCCGGGGAGGGGGTCAAGAGCTGGCCGCTCTTGCAGCAGCACACGGAGACAAAGAGCTGTGGACATGGAACGTGTGCGCTGGTCGGGTATTGCCTACGGCAGACTCCGAAGAAAACTTTTGCAGCTCAAACTGAAACGAAAGTGAAAGCAGTGGAGGCCCAGGACCTGCCAGGAGCTGCGTCGCTGACCTATCCCATTCGGAATGTCCACCATGTGGACCCGCACGTTCTGAAAGCTGCAAGAGAATGCACGGAGGCCACGCAGAGGAGCCCCCATGCTAACCCCGCTCGCAGGATCGAGTCGATCAGCATCAAGGACCTGGTAATTGACAGAACTCCGAGTGAGGCTCGGAGGTTTTACCTTCGTCGTCGTTATTTTGGGAAGCTGGACAAGAAGACGCTGACGAAACGAGTTCACTCGGAAGGAGGGATGCTGATGGAATGCATAGAGGCAGCGAGGAAGAGGATGAAACGCGACGAGGCTGGGCAGGCCAACCCCTGAGGAGCAGGTGTTGTTGGATAACAAGTTGTTAGGTGTAGTGCAACTTGCATAAATGTGTCTTGACTTATGGTAACAAAGAAGAAGAGTTTGAAGAACACAAGTGCGAGCTCCTGGTTATCTCCGAAATCCTCGCATCGCTGAGCTGCAAGCCAGGATTCCACCTAGGACGGTCAGGGAAGCGAAGGCCGCAGCCAAGATGCGATCTTGAACGCTGGCACGTCTGAGAGCTTCGTGGTAGGGGATGCGGGTGAAAGTGACCTGCCGTAAGACTTGAATGGGAGGAAGAGGAAGAAAGGAGGAGGTGAAAGAGAGAAGCTGATAGTACAAGTGGGCCAGCGAAGACGGAGAGGCGGTACATGCAGAAGAAAGTTGGAGGATGACGAGAGGGAGGAAGTTGATACCATGGTGTAGAGCGGAATCCACTTTCCCGGAAAGATATCTTCAAGCAACCAATCTACCTTCTATTCATCATTGTCAGCTTCACCTCACGAGCATCAGGAAAGGGGGCAGGGGAGGGGGGGAGGGGAGGAGGGCAGGGGAGTGATGGGGGAAGGGGAGGTGAAGAGGGGAAAGGATGAGAGTGCAGGAGCATGCTTGAGTAGATTCGCTCGCCTTCTTCATGATGAACAACTTTGAGTTGGTCTTGCTCTGCATCTCCTTGTGGTTTTGAATAGAAGCTTGCACCTGCCCCCAGGTGTGAGAGGTGGGAGAGCAGCAGGATGGCAGGATGGCAGGAGGATGGCAGGAGGAGAGGAGGACAGGTATGGAGGAGGAGAGGAGGAGCAAGGGAGTGAGGGATCGAGCAGGTTGAGGACGATGGCGAGGCCGGAGAGGGATGGAGCAAGTTCTAGGGCAGGAGTACCAGCCCCCTGCGAGAAGGAACGAGCTCCTTGGACAGGTCAGCGAAGGTAGCGAGGAAGTCCCCCCCTCGCTCCTCGAGCAGCTCATCCTGCGACACGTGGTGAGATGGGAAGAAGAGATGGAAGAAAGAGAGAGGAGAGATCATATGCAAGAAAAGAAAACGAATGAGCAGAGGGAGAGGAGTGAAGAGAGGGGTGCAGGTAGAGTGAGGAAGAGGAG